CATTGAGTCAACGGGTGTCTATCGCTTGTGTGATGTCCTGGTGGGGTAGAAAGTCAGTCAGTCAGGGAAAATACTATTAATTGTGACGAGAACAAAATAACAGTAAACAACCACAAGACCCTATCAGTAAGCTCAACAGAAAGCAACAATTTTCCGTCTACGAACAGGACACTGCAGGCTCAACTACCACATGCATAAAATAAAGATTGTACAGTCCCCACAGTGTGCCTGTCAAACCGGACCACAAACACCTGAGCACATTCTGCAGACCTGCCCACTCTACCTGAAACTTCGAAAAGACACCTGGCCTCAAGAGCAAGCTAAGGGGAACCATAAAGGACCTGCTGCTGACATGCGAGTTAATGGAAGCAACCCACCCGATGGTCTGATGTGAGCATACGAAACCGAACGCAAAGAAGAAGAAGAAGAAGAAGAAGAAGACGACGACGAAGAAGAAGAAGACTTAAAAGGAGAACGCCTGTACATTATACACGAAGAATCCCTTCATGCTTTGTACAATATGACCTAGTTAAAAATTCAGTTAAAATTCCGAAGCCGTAATCAATCACTGACCAAATGGTTCACAAGAAGACCAATAGTCTTCATGTGTGTCGCCACCATCGTCTTCAGTGCCGCCATGCCACGCTTGTATTTGATCACAGTCTGCTCCACGTGGTAACTGTAGGACAGACTGCGATCAAACGTCAAAACTAAGTACGGTATTTTAAACTTTTCCTTCTTTCGACATTTATACACTTCCTGGATATGATAGGCAGGTCTTCCTTTCTAATGCTGTTAATGAAGAAGCACCACAAAACTTCTCCGGGTTTACCCTTGATCTTCTCTGTTCGCACCACTCCACCGTGTCATGCAATAATACACTTTAAAAGTCCCTGTCATGTCACGCCTGTCTGGCCCGCTTCGATACATTAGGACATCATCTGCGAATGTCAAAGTTCGCCACGGACCAGCGGGCTGTATTTTTGCCAGACTTGCTGTATATTTAATTTAAAGTTCCCTCTGCTGCGCTTTCTAGTCAAATTAGATTCCCTCCATTGGGCTTTCTAGCCATATTAGATTCCTTCCGCTGAGCTTTCTAGTCAAATAAGATTCCTTTCGTTGAGCTTTCTAGCCATATTAGATTCCTTCCGCTGAGCTTTCTAGTCAAATTAGATTCCCTCCGTTGAGCTTTCTAGTCATACTGTATTCCATTGATAAAACTTTGGTCGACACGTTCGGTTGTGTTTGTGTGCGTCATTTTCGTTCCCTCCATTGAACTCTTTCGTCAAATTTTAAGTTATATTTAGCATTTCGTGCTATATATATGTTGAAAAAGACATGCGAAAATGGTGACCCTTGAGAAAGGTAAGGATAAATGAGTACTAGGTCTGATATCCATGTTCCAGAAAAAAAAAATACCACTTTTAAATCCAACAGTGCTGCCCCACATCCAGTTAGCCAACCAAGGGTTCACACCACAGACCATCACGCACTGCATAAGATATATGAGGTAAACACCGTTATAAGCATGTTCAAGAACTATCACAACAGCCACCGTTGCTGCTTGCTTTCTCTGAAATACTTCACTCACATCATATGCGAATGTATCTACATTGTCCCACGTTGTTTTTTATGGTCTATAACTACCCAGGGCTGCGTGCCCATTCTTTCTAAGTGCAACATCACCTGCTCACCACAATTTTTCCAGCAGTTTGCTAAAAACATTTTGCAAGGTAATGATTCTATAAATGTTGAGTTGTTAGAGATTCCTGTCTGGTTTTGGACATGTTTAGGATAACTATGTAACCAATCATCTGGTACATTAGACATTTGGATAATTTTATTTAAGTCTCTCACAACTCGTAGTGTTTCAGCACTTTTTAACTTAAGTTGCGGAACTTTTTTATAAAAAAAAAAAAAAAACCGCCCACAAAAAAATAAAATAAAAAACAACAACAACAACAACTCGTAACCTACACAAATCATGGCGACAGGCTCCCTCAAAAAGACATATCAAAGTCCCTGTCTTAGACCACCCAAAAAATTAGGCTTATCGTTGAAGGTAGCGAGTTCTTCCCGCGGACTGCGTGGGTTGCGGTTTAAGACAGCAAGTTGTACAAGATTCCTGGGACAACACAAGAAGTAGTGCCAACAAGCCAGTGCACTTATATACCAACTGACATCGTTATTAAGACATCCAAACATAAGTTGAGCTGTGTCGAGTTGTCTCAAGAATGACATCACAACACTCGGGGCATTTTCAGCAGCCAGCGCAGAGTTCTAATACTGATGGTACCGGTCACAATTTGGTTATATGTCCACCTTGAGTGTAGTGAACCGGCCAGACCCTCTGGTTACACCCAGGTGCCTCATTCTCTCCAGGCCATAATAATCTTTTATCTCTACGGATTCCGTTGCTTGTTCCCAAGGGCTTGACCATATCTGCCTTGTCATGTATCAATTCACCACCCAGTGGTGCAGATCCAGCCAATCTGTCTGCCTGTTCATTACTCACCACGCCGGTATGGTCTGGAGAAAAGATCCAAAGTATGCTCACTACCCGTGACCTTTCCAGTGAAGCTTACGACTCTGAAAAAAAAACCCATATGTATGAGTGCTAAGAAACAGATTAAAAACAGTATATATTTACACCAACATTGTGCTACCATTGCCAGATTTAGACACTATCAAAGGTTAACCTATGTAAAATTAACACCTGCGAAATGAGATGCATGAGAAAGACCGCCAACTTGTCCATTCGAGAAAAAGTTAGAAACGATATTATCAAACAGACTGTAGGAACAACACCATGCAGCAAATTCATTGAGAAACAGAAGATCAGATGGGTTGACCATTTAGTCAGAATGCAACCAGAACAACTAAAACGTAGGCGCTACACGTGAATGACAATAACCACTGTTTCCTATCAAACAATTTATCGCAAACTGTTTCTCCCCACAACGCGTAATGGCAGAAGTAAAAGACCGTTTTTCACGCCTTTAGGGGTATAGGTCATATATGGCTAGAAATATATTTTATAGACCAATCGGCACAAGATGAGTGATGTGGTCAGCGTCACGCCGGCTGCCTTTACTTCACGGGACTGCACCCGGTACCCACTCAAGGCTGGGTCGACCTAGGAGCCAAGGTCATTTTTGAATGACAGAAATGGAAAGTAATAATGATGATGATGACTAGAAGTAGGCCTACGGAGTTCAAGCGTTTCGACAGGCGGCTAGCTGTTCCCTGAGGGAAGGGAATTTGGCCATATGAAATCAATTTTAACGTAATAAAGTCGATCATCTTGAATTTAAATTCAAAATTTTAAGTTTAAATTCGAAACTGTTTATAAATGGGGAAAAAACCCGAAGTAAATAGCTACGGAAAGTATATTTTTGTTTGGCAGTTATGTCCCCTCGGAAATGAAACCAAAGACAGGAAGTACCGGAAAACAGTGAAACCGACGCCGTGGATCAAAAGCGATCTAGACGACGAATTACTGAGATATTTCGGATCTATAATTAATACAGACAGTTGGAACCGACAGGTATGTTTGATCACATGAGAATGATCGTATAATTTAAAATACTGAGCTCAGAATGATGCACACTAACACTTACTTATTTTATATCAATTTGGTTTACTAAGTAAATTACTAAAAAGTATGCTGGCAACACGCACAGCAGAGTCAGCGTGTGTCCGTAGTGTGTCAGTGTGTGCCCCTGACTGACAGTGACCGACACGACACAGTCACTGACACTGTACTACTTCGCCTTTATGGTATAATCATATAGTGCTGTTTCACTTTTCATCTTAAATTAATTTTTAAAAAAGAAATGCACAGGAAGTAGGTTAGTAGGGAAAAACTGAACAATTTAAAATAAATTCCAAATGAAACGGCAGCAGTAGCAGCGAAGCTTTATCTAATAATTAGACTAATTCCAGTCTCTGCATCTAAATAAACAAGCTTATATATGTTTGTGTGTGTGTTTAGTTTAAATTGTCTATAACCATCGTTGAGTCTCAACGATGGTTATAGACAATTTAAACTAAACACACACACAATAATAATAATAATGTTTTTTTGTCTCAACTTGAGACAGTGAAAACTAAATAAAATAATACTCAATACTGACTGCAAAATGAGTTGACTAGTGTAATAGTACTAGTATTCATCACATGCCTTCTCGGCCGACAAGCGTTTGTGTTGAGGGGCAGACGAAGTGGGTGTTCATAGCAAAAGAATGTCGCTTAGCACAACAAAGGCCGGCATGCATACAATAGCACAACTTCTAGTTTTAGAATGAAGGTGCAGGCCGTCGCTGCTGCCTTCTACTGGCTTGAGAATCAGGTGTATACATCACATGCTGTGATTGTAACAGACTCACAGAGCATGTTGAGAAAGATGGAGACAGGCTTGCTCTGTGCAGAGTGACAAGCATCTCCTCAGAGGTCCTAGACAGTTGGCATCCTTTAGATAATGTTGCAGAGGTTGTGCTGGTATGTGGGGAAATGAGCAGGCGGATAGACTGGCCGGTTCTACACCACTTGGGGATGAATTAATGTATGACAAGCTAGATATTATGAGGGCCTTTTTGGAACGAGTGAGGAGGCACAGATAGGCAATTACGGTCTGAGGAGAATGGCGCTACAGAAAGTTACTAGGGGATCTGGCCAATGCTCAACACTGAGGGAAAAAAAAAGCGAGACTTATATACAGACAGTTACTGGTACCATTGGAAATAGAACTCTTCTCTTGCTACTGAAGATAGGGACAGAGTGCTTATTGGGATATCTGACGTAGATTCCTAATTCAGCATTCTTAAACAAATGTAAGCTGCTGCACTAAACTGTAGCACATAAAATGTCAAATTAGACACTAGAAAATTGTGACGATTGCTTTAAACATGATCCTCTTTGAGTATAATTGTTTACATAATGCATACTTAATTAAATCCTTTATTTACAATAATAATAATTTTTTTTTGTCTCTTTCAGAAATGGCTGATTCTGAAGTCAAGGCAGAAACAGAGAAAATGGAAACTGATAGGACTGAGAAGAAAGAAAGGAAAATAAGCAGTTCTGAAATAAAGGGAAAGATTGAAGAATCAGAAACTAAGAAAGTTGAAGAAGCTAAAAAGGCAGAAGAAGCTAAAAAGGCCGAAGAAGCTAAAAAGGCTGAAGAAGCTAAAAAAGCTGAAGAGGCAAGAAAAGCTGAAGAAGCAAGAAAAGCTGAAGAAGCTAAAAAGGCAGAAGAAGCTAAAAAAGCTGAAGAGGCAAGGAAAGTTGAAGAAGCAAGAAAAGCCGAAGAAGCTTGGGACAAAAAGCTAAAAGAAGTGCAAGCAAGTGTGCAGCGGTTTGCACCACATCGTGTGCCAGACAAAGAGCTGCAGCAGGCAAAAGGTATTGTTTATAAGCTTTTCTATTGTGTTGCACCTTTTTTTTAAAATGTAATTTGCTCCATTTCCATTATCAGGGTTTCTAGCGGACATTGACATTGACAGGACAATTGACCTTGAAGTTGGCCCCCCCCCCCGTAAAGGGAGAATCAGAGAAAAAAGCTGTCACTAGAAGATTTTCAGAATTTAGCTACTTTTTAAAATTTACCTTTGTTCTATGTTTATGGTGAGCAGCGGGCTATTGAACGATCATCTGTTCACGGTTTGGTCTGCGGAGTGTGGTGGTATGCATTAAGGGAAAGGTGTTGTAAGAAATGGATCTTTAGAAGCCACTCGCTGACAGCCTGTATGGGGCGGGAAAGGTCAACTTGTTTGCAGCCATCGTTTCTTTGACCACATTTAAATTAGGGGTGGTGGGGCTGGCAAAGTGGGTGTCACTTGAATTTCCCAATTCTGTTTTTGGCACACCTCATTCTACAACGTATTTAGCGCTCATCATTCTAACCCTTCCCCATTTCCCCTTAAATATCTTCCATCTTTCCTTTCCCCCTCTATCCTTAATCTGTTCTCTGTCTTCTCCTGCCCCCCCCCCCACCAGCACCCCTGCCCCTTTCTGGGCTTCGCCTTCTCCCTCTCTTCTAGTCTTCATCTTTTCTTTTTCTGTATATTTTCTTTATGCTATCCTTTCTTCTGCCCCCCCCCCCCCCCTTTGTTTACTAAATTTGCTGCTCCATAACTGTTGTTTCTTAGTAGCTGTGTCCATTACACAGGAAATTATTTTATGGGGGGGGGGGGGTAATTTTGTCTTATAATGTTATTTTTCTTAGCACTCCTGTTGTTTGAACTGACTATAATTATATTTTTAATCTCTCTCTGTCTCCCTACCTGCTCCCTCCCACTTTTTTTGTCCTACCTACTTTTGTCAATGCCTTCCTTTCTCTTTGTTTTGCCTCTCTCCCCACTTCTCCTTTGTCTAACTCCCTCACATTCTTTTGCTCTGCCTTTTTTCTCTCACTCTGCTTGCATCTGTCTGCTTGCATCTCAATATTGCCCTCTCTGTTTCTCCCTCCTTTCTGTCTACATCACTCTTTTTGCATCTCCTTCTCTGCCTGTCCCTTCTCCCCCTCTTCATCTCTCTCTTTGTCTGTAATGTTTTTCTCCTTCCTTTTCTGTCTCCATTCCTTCTTCCCCCTCTCTTAATCTGCCTGTCGTTTTACCTTTCTCTCCTTCTCTGTCTTTTCCCTCTCGTTGTTTACTCGTTTATCTCTCCCATTCTCTTTAGTCTTTTTCCCTCCCTATGTCTGTTTGCATCTATATACTGCCCTATCTGTCTCTTCTTTCTTTCTGTCTACTTTTCTCATTCTGATTGCATCTTCTTTTCTCCGTCTCTGTCTTTATCTGCCTTCTTTTCTCCTTTCCTGTGTCTTCTCTTTCACTTCTTCCCACTCTCTTCATCTGCTCATTTTTCTCTGCCTGTCTGCACCTCCCCCACCCCATTTGTTTCACTGTCTCCTTTCTATCTTTCACGCTCTTCCCCACTCTCTCTGTCTGTATGAATCTCTCTCTGTCTCTCTGAGTTATCAGGTCTACAACAGATAGGACCTGTTTGCTCCCCTCTACCGCAGAGTCCAGAAAAGATGTAATAACACTTTGTGCACGTATATCCTCATGTACTGGACGTAAATTTGCCAAGAAAAACCACACAACAGCCATGAGCTGTTTGGGTTGGTTCTGCAACGTCCTGTAAAGGATATGCAACTAACATCATGTATGTGCGCACACCAGTATATGCCTGGTACATCATTGAAAAAGAGAAAAAAATGCCTTTAAAAAAAACTTAAACAATTTTTGTGAATTAAGCTATGAAGCCTGTTTAAACAAAAATATAAATGATCTTTTTCATCCAGTTGCTGCATGAGGCATATTTTTTTTTTTAAATTTCAGAGCACTATACCTGGAATTTACGAATTTACCCAGTCGACCCAGAAGACTGCAGAAATTGCATTTTGGAAGCAGCTACAAGGGTTGCACAGAAAACGTTTTATTACGTACCAAGACGTAGAAATGGCTATGGGTATGTTGAAAGTAATTTCCTCTTGACATCATATCTGGTCTTTTACTTTATGTTAACTTATTTTTGGCAGAGGACTGTATTTGATTATCATACTTTCCTCCTGTTTATCTTAGGTGAATGCACATTGGAGTTTGAACTATCTAATTAATTTTCCTGATCTATTTTTTTTAAAATGTGTATGGTTTTTCTCTCTCCAAAACCTGCTGAGGTAATTACTCACATAAAAATAGACTACATTCTTTGGTGTTGTTAGTCACAGTTCCAACTTCACGGCTGCTGTGTAATCAAAAACCATACACAGTGCCTATCACTTCCTCGTGCAAGTAAGTTAAAGAGAGGCAACAGCATGCACACACATTAAATATAAAAGGTTGTTGTCAGAAGTGCTGATAGTTTGCCACTAGAATTGCAGTTCCTCATTAGTAGAAGCAACTGTCGCAACAAACCAGCAGTTGCATATGCATTGCTGCATTAGGCATACCACCAGTTGTGTGACAACTGGCCAGCAACCATTTTCTGAATATACGGTTTATAAAAACAAAAATTTTTAGGAATGTCATAAAAATAGAATAACCAGTATATTGTGGCAATAAGATAGTTAAAGGAAAAGAGAAGTTGTCAAGATTATCACTAATTTCTGCATTCTTGTCATGGGGCCAACAAAAGTAGATTGTCTGCTGCAGGTAAGCAGGCCTCTTTGTTAATTTGTTTCATGACATCTTCATTAAGATTCTCAGAATACCATGGACAAAAAAAGAAAAGAAATAATTTTAAAAGACCTGAACATCAAGAAAAAGAAGAGAAGAAATAATTTAAAATACCTAAACATCAAGAAAAAGAAGAGAAGAAATAATTTTAAAAACCTGAACATCAAGAAAAAGAAGAGAAGAAATAATTTAAAAAGACCTGAACATCAAGAAAAAGAAGAGAAGAAATAATTTTAAAAACCTGAACATCAAGGAAAATTGGCTAATTAACATCTTGTCTCGGAAGCTGAAATATTTTGGTCATGTCAAGTGCCATGGCGGATTAGGAAAAATGAAAGCAGAAGGCATGGTACCAGGAAGAAGGGGCAGGGGTCGACCAACATGAAGATGGGCAGAGAGTATAAGTGATTCCTTGAATGTGAAATTACATGAGGTGGGAGTGTTGGCGAGAGACCGAGTTCTGTTCAGGCAGATCAGGATGAGAGCAACATTTTGCAAAGAACCTGCTACATTAAGATTGATGTAGGACAGAGGGCAGGGAGCCTAAAGATTTAGGACTGGATGGCTAGTGTACTCGCCACTAACTGCGCACATTCAGTCACATATTGGTCCCCGACGGAAACATATCTCCATCCCTTACAAAAGATCAAACCTGGGTCTCCAACCACTTGAACAGTTACTCCTTCATCTGCTGTGATGGATTAAAAACTCAGTTTTTCTGGTGCAGAATAAATCAAGTTTATAACTTAATTCTATTTATTCCTGCAGAATTGCTGAACTGCACATGACTTCTGACAAAGACGCTCTTAGTGTCATGGCAAGAGTTGTTCGCACAACATTCTTTCACCGATATGTGACCATAGAAGTGACTCGCTTGAGCCAGAAGAGGGACAAAAAGCCTGAAGAGACTGGTATGTTTTATGTTTATGCTATGAAAATGTTTTGCATTTTTTTTGGGAGTGACATAAGGTGCCTCAAGGAGATGTTTTCTGAACAGTAAAATTCAACAAAGCCTATATTTCCAATTCTAAAGTAAAGGACCCTTTCAAGCCTTTAGCCTATTGAGCTGTACCTATTATTTTTATAGACCAGTTAACGGTTTGATAGGTGAGAAGATATGGTCAAATTCACACCATCCACTGCTCCATAACAAGCATGTTGTTAATTGGGAGTTTTCCTTTAAAGTCAGAGTGCGAGAAACCTTGTTAGTTACATTTAGGATTTGTTGTAGACATTGAATTTCTGTTTTGATTTTTTTTTTCTTTTGCTGTTGATGTCCACCTTTGGCACTGGTGAGTCACCAATTGGAAAGAGAAGACATATCATGGAGGTGGATGATGTCTGCAGTAATGAACCTCAAGGGTTATCGAAGCCTGAAAGAGAATGTAATATGTTGAATGCATTAAATGATTGTTGTGCTAATGTCATCTGCAGGATGTTCACTTCACTCAGTTCTGCCACTGGCATTTTGTATTCAATAAAGTCTTTTGGAGTAATGATTATTGTTCGTCCATCATGAGAGATGCAGACCACTTTTCATCCAAAGTAGTAATGATCAGTGATTATGAGTACGAAGATACCCGATTAGACCAGTATGAACCTGGAAAGTTCTTGAGCAGTGGGGACAACAAATGGAAGTCGCAGTAAGTAGGGGATTAGCGATACAATTCTTTCTGGTCTGCCTCCCCTTATTTGCCTGTGCAACCTCCGCAGGCCGATTCACCATGCCCGAGGGATGTATGCCATCCAGAACGGTCCTGTGTAGCAACCTTCCATATGATGGTATATACATCATGAATATATATGTTATACATTTTAAATGCCGCAGTCAATATATTTGTAAAAAATAATATATTTTTTTTTCATTTCACTTGCAGCCACAATTGTACTCGACACAACGAAATGTGAGAAGATCAGAAACACAGTTGTATCAAAAGGTGAGTTTATAAGGAGTAATGACAACATCACCATTCATGTTACATTAGGCTTATAGTTTTATTCTTCTATTCCATTCTGTCTTAAGTCATGGCATGCATGGAATCAGGTCTCATCCCCCCACCCCAACCTTTTGGCCTGTCATTAACTCTCATATTTTTTATTTTTTTTTAAATGTATTTATATCCTAATCAATTTGTTTCCCATTTTGGTGCCTTTTGTTGATTCTCTGCTGGCTTCTTCCTAGGATGTGCCCAATATAGCGCCATCTTCTTTGTCCTATAACTTCTTTTATGTTCACCCGAAATAGATTATCTATATCTGTAGTGTTTCTGTAGTGTGAAATTCACTGTCTTGTGTAATTCACACCCAGCAGCCCTAAAGTTTGGCTTCAACCAGCGTTTCTGTTGGCCCGAAGTCTTGCCTTGATATTTTGCATCTGGGATAGTTATAAGTGTGATCTGTTGTCTCAGATGTCCGTCCACACGTGCACGTGGCTGATTCACCAGTCATAAATCTAATGCGCATGTGGCTGTGAAATCGATTGTGCCCTGTTCTAAGGTGTAGGATCATGACTTGCTCTGGTGTGTCTATAATATGATATGATTCACCAATCATAAATCTTATGCACATATGGCTGTGAAATCGATTGTGTCCTGCTCTGAGGTGTAGAATAATGACTTGCTCTGGTGTGTCCATAGTATGAAAATCGTCTTGTGCTAGTTTTGAAGGTCCTCTGATTACATCAGTTATTCTCTTCTTCTGTTATTAAGAGACTGGTACATCAAGTTGTGCTTCTTTTGCATCTTCCTTAGCTAGTTTATGAGCTCTAATTTCTGGTAACTCCACATTGAGATGGTATCCATAGCAACATTATACGGTTGCCTAGTTTGTAGTGTCTGTATACCTGGTTATTTTCCAGATTGGAATGCCTGAAGTGCTGCTCTCGCATCTGTCAGGAATACCATAAGTTTTGAAATGTGACTGGTATTTAGCAGTTTCTTTGCTGCTATCTTGATGGTCTAAACTTTTGCGTCATAGTTGTGACAGTGCTTTGTATTTTGTCGGTCTCCATAGTGTTATTTAAAATAGTCAGTATACTACTTCTCCTCCATTTCTGCTTGCATTTTGTGCTGTCCCATCTCAGGGTTCGTGGCAGACCTGAAAAAAGTCGGGAAATGCAAGATCGCTCTCAAGGTTTGGGAAAAAACTCAGGATTTTTATGAAAACTGATGAAAATCCGTGAAATTTGCACACCATAACCTGTAACCCAAACTCAAACAAACAAAAGAAGGATCCGCATGATTTTTTTTGGGCGGTTGCGCTGTTAAAACAAGATTGTCGGCAAGATCTGTGTAGACTCAAACCCAAAGATCCCGTGTGTATTGATCATCAAGTAGACTGAGGGTGGCTGTTTTGACGTTGCACGCTGTTTTGTTCTTCCTCATCAAATACTTTCACTTCTGTCTTTCCTGTAACTGATACAGATAGTTGCCCACACATTTCTCTTGTTTCTTCACTTTTCTTGACTTCATTCTTCTTCTTCTTCTTCGCGTTCACCAACTGTACACTCTGGCGGAAAGTTCTGGTTGCTCGTCCACTACTGAACTGCAGTCCTGCTCCAGAACCTGAGTATTGCGTGTGCATCAGTTTTACAGATCTCATTCTCTTGAATACAGACTGTTGGTTCCTTGCCTCTCCGGCAGATGCACTCCGACTTCAAAGGAAGCGCCCCAATTAGTCGACTCTTACGACATGCTTTTGGGGAGGCAGTGGGTCTATTCTTTTTTTCCCCACAATGGGGCCCCGGAACCCACACGGGGGTCTTGACTTCATTCTATTTAATGTTCATCAGTTTCACCAGGCTTGCTTTCGAATACACATAACTTGTTGTTCTGTGTAGGTAGTGATACTCCAGATTTCACTTGCATATGTTAAAATTGAAATAACATTGAAAGTTTGTTAATTCATTTTAAAACTATATAATTAAGAGTTCCATATTGTTTTCCGACTTTTAAAAGCTACTGGTGCTTTGCCAGTGTGTCATAATTTCGTTCTTTGTGTTTTTATGACTGTCAGAATTACTATCTAAATTCCTAGAAATAGGCCTGACGTCTTCCTTCGAAGTCGGAGTACAGCTGCCCATGAGGCAGGGAACAGTAAAACGGTTGTACACGCAAAAATCAGGTCCAGGTGAAAGCCAAAGGTCCAAGTGGACGATTAACCGGGACCTTCCGCCGGAATTCACAGCCGGTGATCGATTAAAAAAAAAAAAACTATCTAAATACCTGACTGTCTCTTGTGATGTCTGATCACTTTGCAAACATTACAGTATTTTATGCGCTCCCTTTTCACAAAACCCCTAAAGCTAGAACTAACATGTTTCAAAATTGTCAAGTCTAAAAGAAAAAATCTGCCCCACGCTGCATATGTAACAATACAACTTTCACTAGCTAAACAAAAGGGCAGATTACTTGTTGACTTCTGACCAGCTTTGTGTTAAAACTTTCCCAGATTATATTGAAATGGTGCCTGTTTGGAAGACATGTTTTGATTCACTGACGAAATTTTTGTTTTGGCGATAACCTCATTATTTGTCAGGCTATATATACATATGTGTGAGGTGTATTGCTTATGTGTTTATACTGATTTTCATTTACCTTGACAGACAGCCAGAATAGTCTTTGGGTGAGATATTTGTCTGAAAACACCAGCCCAGAGTTCTTGAGAGTTCTGTTTCCATTATCAAAAAGTGCCCAAGTTAAGACTCACGATGGCTTACAGTAAGTAAAGACTTAGGAGTGTGGTCATTAGGTGTTCTGTTCATTATTCGTGGGTCTAAATAAGCTGTCATTTTTGTGTGGTCACCTTTTATCATCAGCATCATCATGTGCCCTGCTAACTGGTGTAGGTGCTCATGCATCTCCATAAATCATGATCCCTGGTTGTCTGGAACATCTTTTTTGATATCGCTCCATGACATCGTTTCAGCCCATCCACCATCATCTCTCTTGGTCTGCCTGTACACCCTTTTCCCACTGATCTTTTCAGTTGTCGTGATGTTTTTTTAGTGCCTGTCTACTCATTACGTGGCCAAAGAAAAGAGTTTATCTCTTTCTTATTGTTGTATATAGGGATCTACTTTTATTAGCTTCTTTCAAACAATCGTTATTTTACTCTGGTCGTCCAAGGCATTCTTAACATTCTTTTCAGAAACCACATCTCTGTTGCTTCCAAATTCTTCTTAATTTGTTTACTGACATTCCAAGATTCGCTGCCATACAGCAGAACATATTCTATGTAACATTTTAGCACTCTCTTTCTGACCCCATTTAATTACTTTAAAGAAAATAAAGATTCATGGGGTATCACCTGAAGCCAGTAAAATTTATATTTTTATGTGTGTGAGCCTGTTTATGATTTCACTTGACAATTTTACATTCAGTAGTTTGCCATTGATTAGCATCTACACTTTAAGACATTTGTTGCAAAAGACAGAGCATCTATGGGTATAGCCAGTGTACTATGATGTCGGTTCGTGAATAACAAGTGACCACTGGTGGAAATTTCTTTGGTATACTCTAAACCAGGGCTATTCAGCTGAGTTTATTCAGGGGCCAAAAGTTTGAAAATGAGAGATTGTCACTGCCAGAGGTCCTAGCGCTAGTATAGAAGATTATTAGCTTAATACAGCTGTCAAATATTTGCTAAGCTTCCGAGGGCCACGTTTGGCCCGTGGGCTGCTTGTTGAACTGCCCTGCTCTAAACCAGATGTGGAGAAAAATATATAAGAGAATGCTTCATGTGAGGGTGATGAATCAAAGCAAAAAGCCAGTCACATGTTACCCAAAACTGATGAGATTTAAATGTTACAGTTTAGCTAAGTTGCTGGCTACAGACAGAATATATGATGCTTTTTCTCTCCCCAACATTAGCTTAGGTTTGGTGGAAGCCAACTGCAAAGCTGACCTGCTGGTGTTCACAAAGGCATACATGACTGTCGTTATCAACAACACAAGTGTTTGGTCCCTTGACACCAAGGAGCCAGGGGAGAAAGAAAATGGTATGTTCAGATTGTATACACAGTTGTCAAGAGTCGCTGAGAATATATAGCTGGGGAATATCATGATTGGTTGACTCCTGGATCACCCTTTTGGATAGGTTAATTTTAAAAATAGTGTCTGGGGGGGGGGGGGGGCAGTTGAACTGTTTTTAATTTTTTTATTCAACTTTCTGATCAGGCATTTGGGAATGTAATTTATAACTAAAAATGAAAGCAAAGTATTCTTCATTTTTGATTAGTGAAGTGAAGACTATCATCACAGCACTACAGACAGACCCATAATTGCTCCGATCTCCCCCTCACTTTGCCTCACAAGAGTGAAATGACTGATCATGCCCATTTTGTGTGGACCAATCAGACATCTTTGCTCTTGGTGAAATGTTCATGTCTGGCAGCTCTATGCTGCACTCCCATGTCGACCAACCCGGACATGGTTACGGATGTTTCACACAGTGGGAAATATTGCCTCTTGAAGTGAGGTGGAACGATCAAGTGGAGTGGTGGTAGCCAAAGATTCTACCTGGAGATGTTTGCATGATCTAGGAGCGGCAGTAGCCTTGGGGGGAGGGGGGGGGGGTATTAAAAAAATAAAGCGAAAAGTAGAAAAATAAATGTCTGTTTCATCTGTTTTGTGTCTCAGCATTAGCACCACAGAGCAAGGTACTCATCGACTCTAGCAATCTCAAAGATTGCAGAAGGTTGAGATGTTCAGCCATCAGGGTGTGGAAAGCAAGGGGAGACTACCACATCCATATACTCTAAACAGAAATCAAACGTGTCTGGGGAGAATGGTGATGTAGGGTGCAGTTTCTGAAAAACGAGCCAGAGGCTGACCTCGGCGAAGATGGATACAAGACAGTGAAGATGCATTGATCATGAAAGCACACTGGAGGATTGGTTAGAGAAAGAAAGACTTTCAGACATGCCATGAAGAGAGCGTCAAAGGACATGATTGATTGTGTCTGAGCAATACTCATAGTGATTGCCTTATTGTCTTTGTTTATCCCAGCATATTTATGTATATTCAATTATGGAAGGTAGATTTCCCAGAGTGGTGCCGTGTAGTGTTTACAATTACAAAATGGGGTTATAGATTAAATATGTCTGACGAGAATTTATGACAGCTTGACAGAGTTTTTGATGTTGGCGACACACTGTTTAGACAAGCCTAATTTCATGACACGGCCTTGCAGTGATGAAAAAATTAGCGGGTACCACCTGGGGCGCCAACTCTAGAATCCTAAAACAAGTATATACTGGAACAGTCAGACCAGTCATGGAATATGCCTCCACTGCATGGGCTGCAGCAGCCAAGACAACAATGGGAAAACTGGACAAGGTTCAGAATATGGGCTTAAGGATTGTTCTCGAAGCCATGAAAACCACCCCCATCAGAGAAATAGAAAAGATAGCAGATACTGAACCACTCAACCTCAGAAGACAATACAAAACTCTTTTACAGTATGAGAAATTAAAAAGACTTCAAAGTCACCCACTGCATTTTAAATTTCAAGAGAGAACAAAAAACAGACTGAAGCTTCAGAGCCCCAACCACCTTGCTAGAGAACTGTACAGACAGCACCAAGATCTGCTTGAAAGAGATGTTGCATTGTACGAAAAACTTAGACCTGAACCATGGACAAGCAAGCCAGAGAAAGCAAATGTAGTCCTAAAGGTACCAGGAATCACTTCAAAAGATGCCCAGACGGAGACACAACAGAGAACCCTGGCTCTTGCTATGCTTGATGAGAAGTATCTAAACACAACTTGGACTCAGGTTTTCACTGACGGCTCTGTTATAGATGCAGTCAGAAAGGGGGGTTGTGAAATATACATTAAACCCCCTAGCAGTAGAGCAGAAACTCTCTCTCTACCAGCAGGTGACATCTGCACTAACTTCAGAGCTGAGGCAACTGCCCTCCTCTCTGCAGTCCAACATCTCATCACTCAAGAACACAGAGGGCACCAAATTGTTATACTTAGTGACTCATTGTCTGTTCTCCGAGCACTATCCAGCAAAAAACAAGACAAACTAATAGCTGATTTAAGGACCAACATTGGCTTACTCTCCAAGGAAGCAGAACTGGTCTCGCAGTGGATACCAGCCCACTGTGATATTCAGGGAAATGAGAGAGCAGATGAGTTGGCAAAAGCTGAGAGTAATCTTCCACAACCTCATCCACCACACAGCTACAAGGAAACCAAAACAGCGCTAAAGCAGTCTTTCAAGCGGGAGTGGAGAAGGCAGAATGGAGATTACAGACCAGAGAGTAACAGCATAAACAAACTCAACAGGAAAGAACAAACATCAATTTTCAGACTTCGGACTGGACACTGTGGTCTTCGAGCACACTTGTACAGGATAGGCATAAAAGCATCTGCTGCCTGTGATTGTGGAGCAGAAAGACAAACCCCTGAACACATACTACAGTACTGCCCTAACCTCTCCCAGCAAAGACTGGATCTGGCCCAAGGGAGCCACATTGCAAGAGAAGCTATGGGGGACCGGTGGCGACCTTAAACTCACAATAGCATGACTGATGTCGAACGCAGAAGAAGAAGATGACACAGCAGTTCAGCCTCATAACAAACCAGAAGTTGAACTAACTCATTATATAAGATAGGACACATGTAAATTACATTTGCATAACACAACTTCACACTGCAACCGGCAGTAACGTGTCACAATGCAGTTTTGGAAAGCACTGATCTGTGGTACAGATCAGTGGTTCTCAACCTTCCTAATGCTGCCAGCCTTGAACACAGTTCCTCAAGATGTGGTGACGACACCCCCCCTCACCACCACCCCACCATAAAATTATCTTTGTTGCTACTTCATAACTTTAGTGAGGTTTGAGCAACGGATCAACATTGTGTCTCACGGGTAGTAACCCATAAGTGCTCCGTTCTTCTTCTAACTCAAGTCTGAGTCCGAAGAAGCTCAGCACAGGCTCTGTAGCACCAGCAAGGATCCTGAAATACTTTAGGTACATTTTTAACCCTAAATTCCGTCCGAGCAGCTACTCCTTTCGATTTCCAACTGCCAAGGGATTTCTTACGTGCGCAACAATGCACACCGGCATCCATTCTCACTACCCAGAGACCAGGGGGGAATTACTAGAAGTCCACGCGAAAAAATCCCAGCCCTTATGAGGGATTGAACCCGGATCCTCTAGCACTCGAGGCGGACACCATGCCTTGAGACCACGCAGTCCCCTAACTATAGTGATTGTGTGTTTCTAATGGTCTTAGGCAACCCCAGTGAAAGGTTCAGTCGACCCCCAAAGGGATTGTGACCCACGTGTTGAGAACCGCTGATTTAGATGGATGAGAATGTGAACCATCCAGTGTTGAATCATTCTGCCTGCAGATTTTCTATGCATTTGACTCCATTTAAATGTTTTACAGCGGTCAAGGCTGAGTTAGAGAAAGTGGTGCAAGCCCTGGGAGAACCCAAGCCAGCCCCAACTGAACCTACAGATAAATACGCACAACGCAGAGAAGATAAAAGTGAAACTGCACGTATTCTGAAGCGCACTCTTCATCAACAACACGGGTTAGACCAGCCGCCAAATAAGCGAAGCCGCATGGACCAACCTGCCCAGAGGGGAGTCGGTGGAAACTGGAATTGGGGTGGTGTGAATCAGTTTGCTGGAGCTGTGACAGGTCACACTGGCTTTGGAGGTTTGTAAATGTCTGTTTACTGTTTATAATTATTTACCAGATTCTTTTGTGGGTTCCGGGACCCCACTACAGGGGAGGGGGTGGTGGTAGTTAATAGAACCATCGTCTCCTTACAAGTTTATAAAAAGTCGAAGTGCATCTGCCTGAGAGGCCAGGAACCAACAGTCTGCATACAAATAAGCCAGATCTAGAAAATGGATGTGCACGCAAAACTGGTGTTCTGAAACAGGAGTAAAGTCCAGAAATATCTTCCACGGTTTACATTGTGCAGGTTGTCTACCTATCATCATCATCTCTATCTTTCTAATGCTCAATTGCTCATTATTTCTCATACTTGGTATTGACTTGATTGGGAAGGTTGGGGAGACTGTCTTTTGTTTTTGCTATTAATGCTTGGTCATTTAGAGGTTGTCTACCTATCTTCGTCTCTTATCTTTTTAATGCTTATTTGCTCATTATTTCTCATACTTGGTATTGACTTGATTAAGAAATATTGTGGAGACTCTTCTGTTTTTGCTATTAATACTTGGTCATTTGCAGATAAAATGCTGAATATCACCATTTTCTGTGATCTCCGTTTCTTTGCATACATTGTCAGTGTGCACCATGAAGCATAGAGGAGACGATATACATTACTGTTGTACTCCTGAATTCCCTTCAAAGGATTTTGATGTATCTGACTTTGTTTGTACACAGCTTTTCCTTCTTTTTTTCTCTACTCGAACGTCTCGCGGCTTCAGGACAGGGCTAGATCTCTGGATAGGGCCCTTTTGTTTGCTTCGCATAAAGTACTTTTCAGTGTCTGGTGTTTCTGCGGTCCATCTTCTGCATCGTTCGACCTCTGGATCTGTTACCACTGTATAACTTTGCTCTCTGTGGTGCGAGTCTTGTTACATGGCCAAACCATTTGGGTTTCAGTGTCCATGTTTGATTTTTGATAGGATAGCTTTGGTAAGCTTTTACTTTATATATATATATATATATATATATATATAAACTCTAACATACTTTAATAAGATGTATGCTGATTCTATATCTATTTAGTCAGCCCAAAACAGTATTTTGTCTGCTCTGTCAAAAGTTCTTCCCCAATCTATTATTTAAAAAAAAAACACTTAAACAATGAAAACATTGAATGTGTTCATGGCACAGTGCACTATGTGACTGCGTTCTCACTTCTCTATTCTTCTTACCTGGCACTGTGCTATTTTTCTTCTTCGCTCACCTCAGATCGGCACAGAAGAGGCAGCTATCCAAGAATGCCGAGGACATTTCCACCAGTGTAACAGTGCAGCTGACAGAGCTGCAAAGTATTGGACCCAGCAGCTGTATGAATATTTGCAGATATGAAGCTACTAAATAGAACTTTTGAAGGAAATTATTGGAGTGTCACCTGTGTGTACACAAGGCAGGCAGGCAGAGAATAACAGCACTGAGATCTACCAATTGTGTCATGAAAGGCAACTCAGAAGGGTTGATGTAAGGCTCTCTATTTCAAGGAAACTATCTGCAGTATCCAACTATCAAAGAAGTATACTGATGGCCTGGCATAGGCTGGTTGGTGGTCTGTGACAGATAGAAGACAGTAGAGAATTGTGTGATTGCTGATCTGTAGACAATAAACAGATTCACCAAAGCCATTTGTAGCTACCTCATTTATTTCAGATTTGATCTGCATCACTAACCTAACTTATTTAATGGCAGTTTATTTCAAATTCAGTGGTTTGCTCCTGCAATTATTATTTCTAATATTAATAATTTTGTGTGCCTTTGAGATTTTACTTTCAAAGTGTCCAACCACAGTTAATTTCCCTTGAACAAGACTTTCAGTGTGCTGGGCAAAGTGATGAATATAAGGAATATCTTCTTCTTTGCGTTCACCAGCTGTAAACTCTAGCCGAAAGTTCTGGTTGTTCATCCACTTCTGGACTCCAGTCCTGTTCTAGAACCTAAGTGTTGTGCGTGCATCCCTTTTACAGATCTGACTCATTTGCATGCAGACTGCTGGTTCCTTGCCTCTCAGGCAAATGCACTACGACTTCGAAGAAAGCTCCCAATTAGTTCACTCTCACGACATGTTTTTGGGTAGGCAGTGGGTCTGTTCTTGTTTTCCCTACAATGGGGCCCCGGAACCCACACAGTGAATAAGGAATATAATTCACATTATAACAAAATAGTGTTGTAAAAAATAAGTAAAGGATCCTACCCTTTTCCATGCTTTTAGGCGTATTGGGCAATAGGGTTAGACCTATATTTTATAGACTGATCGGCACTCGGTGGTTAATGTGGTTAGCACCACGCTGGTCACCTTCACTTCCCAGGACTTTACCTGGTGTCCTTTTAAGGCTGTGTTGACCTGAGAGCCAAAAGCATTACTGAAAAATGTCAGGTTCTGTCAGGACACGAATGTATGATCTTCCGATCCGCAGGTGAAAATAGTCTTATAATCTTTAATAATTGCTGAATAAACCAGTCAGAAGCTATTCCCACAGTGAAGGTTGGTTAAAGTGCAGCTTCATCATTGACCCCAATTGTACTCTCTCTCACACTGCTGTTTGTCCATCTTCTAATGTTCTCTCTCACTCGTATCATTGCCTACCTGTTTTGCCTGCCTTTAACTTTTCCTTTGTGTAAAAAGTGTTATATTTTATGCAAGGCCACAATTTTCATTTCTCTCTTGTATATTTCTGTAAACACTCTTTTGACTCTCCCCAGAACATCTGTATTTGATTGGTTTTTTCCCCCCTCCCGTTAAACATGGCCTATTCTCCACGGCCTCAGTTCTTTCTAACAGTTTTTTTATTGACCTGGTTTCTGCACCATACAGTAGGATTAAGTGTACACAACATTTGACATATTTGATTGTGTTGTTTGTCTCTCTTCTTCTTTCCTTTACACCCTGTTGTGCTTTTCAGCATTAGGTTTTGAATAAGCATCTGATGGGGTATATGCTACACATGTGCTGCTATTCATGGCCCCAGGTATTCCATCTATCCATCGCTTCTGTTGTGTCCCAGTGACATGGCTCTCCGTAGTGCACTGTCCTTTGGTAGCATTCACACATGTCTGAACTATTTGATCTCTTGTCTCTAGATATGCACTGGTTCCACCCCAACTTGTTTCCTGATTTTGTAATGTCTGATCCTGTCTCTTATTAGATTTAGGATTTCTTGTAGACATTCCATTGGTATTGGAACTCTGCGTTGGCTGCTGAAGACCGCTGCAGGTTTTTGTTTTATTTGAACTTTGCGCTGACTGCTGAAGATAGTGATGGAGCGCTTATGGGAATGCTCTAAGTGCTGCGATGTCAGTTCTTTTTTCTCGTCAACTTATTTGCAGACATTCTAGATGTCAGTGATTTGTGCATGGTGTTGAACATATTTTTGTCAAACCCTATTCTCCTTTTGTGACACATGCTGAAAAGAATCAAATTCTTCATTATGGCTTTGCAGGCGTACTCATAACAACGCCCCCCGTGTGAGATGTAATTTTTTTATATTTTGAAGCCCCACCCTGGCTTTTGCCAGAGGCCCTAATATAGCCGGGCCTTAAATATGGCCTAACGGCTGAACTGGGTTTCTGGGACCTCTCTACGGGTGATCCTTATCTGCATGTTGGCACTTTGTGTCACCGGGCATTTATTGCTTGTGTGATGTCCTGCTCTTACCTACATACCTATCTTAACAACTATGTTACTGTTGCTAGTAAAAATATTCTAAAATAGGATCAGTGTGTTAACCTGAAAGCCGGGTCTTGGGGCCTCTTAACAATTATGCTGTTTAAAAAAGCGATGATTTTGTAATATTGGGCAGTGATATGAGAAGTCTTTGTCAACCATCATAGGACTGACACTATTAACCTATGTATATGTTGAGGTAATCAGGACACCTGTGGATGTGTCTAGAGTGCCTTGAGGATAACCCAGTTCACAGTTATTCAAAATCATTTCCTGTTGTGAATTGAAATAATAAGAATACAAAACGGTATATTTCACAATTTCTTGCCTGGAATATTCTGCCTTATGTGGCAGAATAAACATTTTCTTTTTTAAGTACAAACAATCCTCAGTGGCATAGTGATCAGTGTGCTTGCCTGTTGAGACATTTGTGATGGTTCGATCCCTAGAAGTTTCAGTGTGAGTTCTGGTGCTCCATTTGTGAGTAAACAGGGTATACTCACCCACTTCTCAAATAAAAACAAGCGTGTTGTAAAAGGTGACTAGTTAAGGATGTTTCCTTTGAGGTTGGAGTGCTAGGACAGGCCAGGAACCAGCAGAGTTTACAGCGTTAAGGAGAAGAAAAATTAAAATTCCTGTCATGGTCAGATTTCATCTGATCAGTGCAGCTCTGTCAGAAAGAGGGTGCTAAACTGTTACATAGAACCTGTTTTGCTTTATGGCAGCAAATCTTGGAGTGTCAGTGAACAAATTAAGAAGAATTTGGAAGCAATAGAGATGTGGTTTCTGAGACGAAAGTTATGAATACCTTGGATGGCCAGAGTAACTAACAACGATTGCTTAAAAAAAAGTTAATGAAAGTAGATCTCTATATACATAAATAAGAAAGAGACAAACACTGTTCTTTGGCCACATAATGAGAAGAGAGACATTGGAGAACATTTTGACAACTGTAAAGATCAGTGAAAAAAGGTATAGAGGCAGACCAAGAGAAATGATGCTGGATGGGCTGAAATGATGGCATGGAGGGATATCATCAAGAGAGCTGTTCCAGGCAACCAGGGATCATGATCTGTGGAGACGCATGAGCGCCAGTTGGCAGGGCACATGATGATGATGAGATCAGCTCAGTCTCATAAAAATGGATGTCAGGTGAATGGTGTGCCAGATTTCCTTGGAGTTGCCCATGAAGGATAAATTACAAAGAAGGGAGCTGACAACCCATGTCATAGGTCATGGTCTAGAATATGTGAAGGCACCTGTGAACACTTGACAAACCTTTATCTATGTCTGCTATATGGAAATACCTTTACCACATTCTGTTGTGGTTGACACTAAGCTATGATACCCGCATCTTTCAGCCCAACACAGCTGATTTCAACAAATCCCCAATTTCATCACCTTTTCTGGCATGCTTACTATAGTGGCAGTGGGTTTGTTCCTTTTCTCTCTCCCAAATGGGTTCAACAGAACCCTCACAGGGAAGAAATGCCTGTAATAGGTAATGGAAAAGTATATTGTGGAACTCTTTAATAACCAGACAGCCCTGCCTGTAACTCTCTCAGGACGAGGCAGATACACCACATTTTTGCATCTATAAGACAACCCCTATGAATGAGAAGGCTCTACTGTTTGAAGCCTAAAGTTAAGAAATAAATATTTAAAGCATATTCCTATATTTTAAACTCATAAAGTTCAGGAATACATATTATCAAATGCATGGAAAAATTGTCATTTAGCATCTTTTCCCCTTGAAAGTTTTTTAAAGTTTGAAAAAAAAAGTGGTTTTTGTTGTTGCCCGAATGACCTAAAATGATGGTATACTGAGAGAGGAGTTAACAACTGGAGCAGTGTAGGCTAGTGTGACAACTGAGTGGAGCATGAGGATTTAAGGGAAATTGATAGTTGTAAACAGTCTTGAATGAACACATGGTGGATTGTTTGGTGCTGAATAAGTCAATTCAGCCAAGAAACTACATACTGCTGCTAGTGAACGCTTTGTTGATTAATCATAATCTTGTGGTGTAGTTATAATAAATACTATAATGATACAGATATAATTATACTATAATGCTGTAGATATAATTATACGCTAGTGATATTATAACACTATAATGATGTAGATATAATTATACTATAATGCTGTAGATATTATTTTACGCTAGTGATACTATAACATTATAATAATGTAGATATAATTTTACAATAATTATGAACCTATAGTACTCTAGTGATGTAGATATAATTATACTGTGAGGATAATTATACTCTAGCGGTGTGTGTGTATAGATGTAAAGTTGTAGATATAATACTATAATGATGTAGATACAATCATGCTCTAGTGATGTAGTTGTAATACTCAACTATAATGATGTAGATATAATAATAATATAATGATGTAGGTATAACACTATAATGATGTAGATTTAATACTAAATTGATGTACTAATAATTATGCTTTAATGATAAACCTATTATACTACAGTGATGTAAATATAATACTACTGTAATGATGTAGATATAATTATACTGTAGTGCTGTACTCAGATGTAAATAGCTGGACTCGGCTGAGACAAAACTTAACACTCTCAATGCCATACAGATGCTACCAACTCTTGACTATCTGGAAACCTTTCCCACAATTGTAGAAGTTGGTCATGCTGTTGGTGAACTTGCATCAAGGAAGGCCCAGGCAGAGATGGAATTCCTGTTGAGATCATCAGGAGTGAGAAAGAAATTCTAACTGCACAAATTCATCAGCTAATAACACTCTGCTGGCACGAGGGAAAGGTTCAACATGACTTCACAGATTCAAGCATCATAACTGTACAAGAACAAGGGTGATTGGAGTGACTGCAACAACTACATGGAATTTCACTGTTGTGTATTGTTGGAAAAGTATTTGCCAGAATTGTTTTGCGAAGACTTCAGATCCTAGATCAGGTTTACCCAGAGTCCCAGTGTGACTTTTGCGAGAACCGATCTACCACTGATATGGTATTTTCATTACAACATTTGCAGGAAAACTGCTGTGAACAAAATCAGCTACTGTATATTGCTTTTATTGATCTCACCAAGGTGTGATTTAGTTTGTCGAAAGGTCTGTTCAACACAGTGAAGAAGACTGGGTATCTACCTACTCTGCTGAACATAATTGAGTCATTCCACACAGGTATGAAAGTTACAATTAACTTTAGTGATTTAACATCGGACGAGTATGTTAAAAAAATGAGTGAAGCAGGAATGGGTACTTGCTCCTACTATCTTGGGGATATACTTGTCACTTCTTTTAAAATATGCTTTTTCAGATCATGAATGTAGTATATTCATCCATTCTTGCAATGCTCGGATGGTGAAAGCCAAAACCAGTATGAGGAAGGTAGTTATCAGAGAGCTGCTGTTTGCAGATGAAGCAGCAGTTACCACCTACTCGGAGGAGGAGATGCAATGTTTACTGTCTGTGTTTAGGGAAAAACTACAAAACTTACATTATTTTTTGTACACATCCATGTTTATTTGTAATAACCTGCTTCATTTGTCCTGCTGTTTTCTAGCTCAGCTGAATCCTCGGGGTATCGCAGATATGGTTATGATGCAGGCTAGGCTCAACCAGCTGATGTTGCTCAACCCTGGGGCTAGGCGAGGTTTCAACACCGGATTTGGTGGAGGCCGCTTTGGGGGTGCTGGCGGAGTCCGTGGTGGGCAGAAGTGAGTATCTTCTGATTACTTTATATATTTTGTGCTCTCTGCTTCTTGCATGAATTTCGTTATTATTTGTGTTTTGAATCTCAAAGCACAGCAATAGTTATCACAATAACATGGACCAGATTTAAAAATAAGACTGGCGTTCTTTGCATAATGTCTGTGTCATCGTAAATCCTTTAAAGCCCGAGTGCATCTGTCTGAGAGGCAAGGAACCAGCAACCTGCATACCGATAAGCTAGAAATGTAAAAGGGGTGTGCACGCAACACTCAAGTTCTGGAATAAAGCTAAATCCAGAGGTGGACGAACAACCAGAACTTTCTGCTAAAGTTTACAGCCAGTGAATATGATGAAGAAGAAGATGTCTGGGAAATGAAAATAATTTGACCATGTTAAATATTGTGGTGGGTTAGGGAGAGAAAAAAAAACAGCACTGAAAGGCATGGTTTCTTTGTGGTCAACCTACAGGCAGCTGGTCACTGGCGATTTAAGACATCCAGTATTTGATAGTTGCTTATGGTATATGGAGAGTGGCAGTAACAGAGAGACACTGTACACAAAAGTGTTGAATGGGAGCAGACCAAGAAGACAGTGGAGCTCAGAACACCTGTATCATGAACCAAACATTGGAGCTCAGATACCTAAATCAGAACGAGGTGATAGAGCTTAAAATACATGTATCATGAACTAGATGTTGATGCTCAGAACACCTGTATCGTAAACCAAGCAGTGGAGCTTGGCATATCTGTATCATGGACCAAGCGATGGAGCTTGGCATATCTGTATCATGGACCAAGCGATGGAGCTTGGCATATCTGTATCATGAACCAAGCAGTGAATCTTGGCATATCTGTATCATGGACCAAGCAGTGGAGCTTGGCATATCTGTATCATGGACCAAGCGATGGAGCTTGGCATATCTGTATCATGGACCAAGCAGTGGAGCTTGGCATATCTGTATCAGGGACCAAGCAGTGGAGCTTGGCATATCTGTATCATGGACCAAGCAATAGAGCTTGGCATATCTGTATCATGGACCAAGCGATGGAGCTTGGCATATCTGTATCATGGACCAAGCAATGGAGCTTGGCATATCTGTATCATGGAGCTTGGCATATCTGTATCATGGACCAAGCAGTGGAGCTTGGCATATCTGTATCATGGACCAAGCAGTGGAGCTTGGCATATCTGTATCATGGACCAAGCAATGGAGCTTGGCATATCTGTATCATGGACCAAGCGATGGAGCTTGGCATATCTGTATCATGGACCAAGCGATGGAGCTTGGCATATCTGTATCATGGAGCTTGGCATATCTGTATCATGGACCAAGCAGTGGAGCTTGGCATATCTGTATCATGGACCAAGCAGTGGAGCTTGGCATATCTGTATCATGGACCAAGCAATGGAGCTTGGCATATCTGTATCATGGACCAAGCAATGGAGCTTGGCATATCTGTATCATGGACCAAGCAATGGAGCTTGGCATATCTGTATCATGGACCAAGCGATGGAGCTTGGCATATCTGTATCATGGACCAAGCGATGGAGCTTGGCATATCTGTATCATGAACCAAGCAGTGGAGCTTGGCATATCTGTATCATGGACCAAGCAGTGGAGCTTGGCATATCTGTATCATGGACCAAGCGATGGAGCTTGGCATATCTGTATCATGGACCAAGCGATGGAGCTTGGCATATCTGTATCATGGACCAAGCGATGGAGCTTGGCATATCTGTATCATGGACCAAGCGATGGAGCTTGGCATATCTGTATCATGGACCAAGTGATGGAGCTTGGCATATCTGTATCATGGAGCTTGGCATATCTGTATCATGGACCAAGCGATGGAGCTTGGCATATCTGTATCATGGAGCTTGGCATATCTGTATCATAAACCAAGCAATGAAACTTGGCATGGCTGTATCATGGAGCTTGGCATATCTGTATCGTAAACCAAGCAATGAAACTTGGCATGGCTGTATCATGGAGCTTGGCATATCTGTATCGTAAACCAAGCAATGAAACTTGGCATGGCTGTATCATGGAGCTTGGCATATCTGTATCGTAAACCAAGCAATGAAACTTGGCATGGCTGTATCATGGAGCTTGGCATATCTGTATCGTAAACCAGGCAATGGAACTTGGCATGGCTGTATCATGGAGCTTGGCATATCTGTATCGTAAACCAAGCAATGAAACTTGGCATGAACCGAACGATAGAGCTTGGAACATCTGTATTCTATACCCGTGTGGGTTCCAGGGCCCTGTTATAGGGAAAACAAGAATAGACCCACTTCCTACCCAAAAGCATGTCATAAGAGTCGACTAATTGGGAGCTTCCTTTGAAGTCGGAGGGCATCTGCCTGAGAAGCAAGGAACCAGCTGTCTGAATGCCAAATGAGTCAGATCTGTAAAACGGATGCACACGCAACACTCAGGTTCTGGAACAGGACTGCAGTCCAGAAGTGGACGAACAACCTGAACTTTATGCCAGAGTTTACAGCTGGTGAACGCGAAGAAGAAGAAGATCTGTATTCTAGAGCTCTAAATACCTGTGCTGACATTCAGAGTGAAGCCCCTTTACCACTTTGCAGCGTCTGTATTATATTAAGTTAAAGTTTGATCCGATAATGTGACCAGGTGCCCTAATATAATTTTTGATTTCTTCTTTTTCAGAGGCTTTGGTAGAGGATGGTAATTTGTTAACAGATCTGCAGTCATGAATATGTGCTGAGCCCATGTTATATAAATACATGCATACATCCAGATTTGCAGTCAATCCACTTGACACCTCTGAACACCTACAGTATAATAGTTAAATAAATTATAACAGTACCAGGGGAATAGTCAGTAATATTTTCTTCTGTATACACCTTTAGGCATCTACATAAAAATACAGTAAGAAAGTACCAATCGATTTTAGTTTATTGGCATCTCCAGATAGTTGCGTCTCTAGGTGTATACCAGAATAAGGTTTATCTCTGTTCTATATTTGTTGTGAACTCTTGGAGCGAATGTTTTGCAATAGTTTTACAAATTCCACAGTTACATTCATCAGCATCTGCTATCTTTAGCTTAGTGAAAAAGTGTTTTTTCATCCTGTCACTTTCGATGCAGAGTCTGAAGGTTACTGCATGTTCTGTAGTTCCTCAAAATTGTTCTTGCGCTATGAGTTAACTTCCTGAGAAAAAAATAACCTTATTTTCCATGTATAGGACAAAACTTTCCCAAAAAATTCTTAAAGTTTAAAATTAGATATCGTCTTATTTGTGGGATTTGTTTAAAATATGTATTTCTTAATTTTGTGCTTAAAAGAGTTGAGGTCCTCTTATACATGGGGACATCTTATATACAGAAGAATACAGTAAAATTATCATTAATTATGTTTCCTCTAGATAAAAGATGCTGATTTATTTTCATGTTTTACTAGAGTGTAAATTGTTTGCCTGTAACTTGCTGGTATGAAGAAAAAAATGTTTAATAACTGCAACAGTTTAACCATATTGGTTAATTTGTGTTTCTTTCCATATTACTTGTTATGAAAGCTGTCCATTAATTTTTACCTCAGCTCTTTTAGTCCAAACAGTTGTTACCATAACTCCTTTTTTTCCAAGTCACTGAGCTTGAAAGCAAGTATTTGTAAGTTCTAAAGTAGTTAAACAGAAAACATTATGACGGAGAAGTACTTGGGACTAATAATTTAGGTACAAAGGTTGATATGACATCTGTCTGTAGAAGACAGCAAGAACATCATTTATCTTCACAATGACCAAAAACAGATGGTCAGTTGTTTGGCACTGAAAAGTTGAATCTTTAAATTTAATGATACATTGGATGATGTATGGATTCATTATGTGTTTTGTTGTTAAGTGAACTGTTTTCTCTCATTAATTGTCTATTTCCAAGTCATGTATGGTTTAGATTTTAAACTGTTAAATAAAAATAAACAATAGAACCACAATATAAAGTGTGTATATTCACTTATGCAAGATTATATAGATTGTCAATTCTTCCCATTTTAATTTTTGTAATGGGGTAGCCCACCAAGAAACACATGATGAGAAGGGTACTGGAAAACAGTGACAGTTAGCAATCTTGATGGAACAAGAGGAAGACAGAGATGAATGCTTAAATGACTTGAACACATGGTTTGGTTAGGACAAGAACACATGCTTGATCTGTGATTGTTTTGAGATTAACAGTAATGTATACCAACCTTGAAAAGTACAGTAAACGAAACACAAAGCACAATGACCACTGCTGGAAAGGCTCACCATCAACCAACCTGATATCATCTCCTCAATGAAGGCTGGCTGCAGGGGATCTCCAGCATGCTGTCTTTCACTGAGGATGTTCACCCGCTCAGACAGCTGTTCATCCATTTCTTAAAACCACCATACAGGCTTTAGTTTGATATCTAAGGAAACACCATACATTCATTGGTATGACACCTAACAATAGTATAATTCTTTCTTCTTCTGAACATTCACCGGCTCTGAACTCGGGCAGAGAGTTTATGATGTCTCTCCACTTCTAGACTTTCGTCGTATTCCAGAACTGGCGTTTTGCATGCACATCTGTTTTACAGAGCTAGCTTATTTGTCAGCAGACTGTTGGTGTATCCCCTCTCAGGCAGATTATTGTACTCCGACTTCGAAAGAAATACCCTTGATTAGCAGGTCTCTTCTCTTTTCCTGCAAAAAGAGGTCCCGGAGATAAGAGATAAAGCTATATTCACCCTGTAGATCAGGGCAGTTTAACTGGCAGCCTGCAGGCCAAATGTGGAACGCAGATCATTGCAACTTGTATTGCAGTAATGATCTTTAGATGCTTGAGCTCGTGTCCCTAGCCTGCGACAATCTCCATTTTCCAAATTTTGGCCCCTGAGTAAACATAGTTGAATAGGCGTGCTGTAGATTATTTGGCATGCAGTGTGGGTACATTGATTAGCACGGGACAGTAGTGATGTCGTTAATGTTATGCAATATGCTTCTTGCAAAGAGACTACGATAATAAGAAGGAATCCGTATCCCTGTCCAGGCTGTTGGCTGTGGGAGGGCAACCGGGAGTTACCATGCATGAACATTTTACTAAGAGCACAAGCGTACAAACATTCATTAACTGGTGCCTGCGTAGAATAGAAGGAATTGAATGGTTTGATAGAATCCAGGGTTCGTAGTGGACCGGGAAATCGGGAAATTACCGGGATTTTTTTCGTTGACCTTGAACCGGGATTTTTAGCTTATAAAAGACATTCCGACCTTAAAAACCCGTGAATTTTGACCGCGGCAATGAAATCGTCAGAAATCCTGTGTTTTTCAGCACAGGCAATTTTGAGGGAGCCATTTGGCTTTTTTTGGCCATTTGGCTAGTTTTTGGCTACTTTCGTTGTATGGTCGTTTCAGGTGTGAGGGCAGCTGATTATTGGCTATTTTCAGCCGAAATGGCTTGTTAAAGGCCAGGGGAGGGCGGGCTTTGTTGCTGATCATGAAAACATGCAGACAGCAGCGGTGTGGCATGGGGCGGGAAGTAGCAGATTCCGTCTCGCGCGTGTGTGTGTGCCTTTGTTTCTAGCGAGTCCGGCAGAATGAACAGTTTAAATCGTTTATGGCCGTGGTTTCTAGAAAGGATTACATTGGGAGATGGTGGGGCTCGGTGCAGTTGTATTTATAAATAGAGTCGCTGTGGTGGGAGCTAAGCAACGCCTTCTCTATTAATTATCCCTATAAATAAACAGAGGGGGGAACCATTTGAGGCCGTTAAATATTATGAATTAATCAAGTAACAGAAAGTATTGTGAACGGCACTCATAGAAAGAAGTAGAAAGATAGAAGAACACACTAGACAACATAAATATCGAAAGCTATAGTTACCGTGCCGGGAATTGGTGACAGGTTCAATTCCCGGCACGGTAACTATAGCTTTCGATATTTATGTTGTCTAGTGTGTTCTTCTATCTTTCTACTTCTTTCTATGAGTGCCGTTCACAATACTTTCTGTTACTTGATTAATTCATAATATTTAACGGCCTCAAATGGTTCCCCCCTCTGTTTATTTATAGGAATGACGTATACACACCGGAACCTACCAATCAAATACATTTCTTAAATGTTTGTGTATTCTAGACAAAGCAATAAGGTCTTACTGTGTTCGTAAAATTGTTGCTGTGATTGTTATTCGACATTTGCTTCGTTAATATAAATTTCTGTAACCTATGGTGCCATTTCAATGGGTTGAAATGAATTCTGTCCGTATTCCATAGTCGTGGATTTCAAGCTGTACGATAGACATGGCCAATGAGACACCTTTTTTTGGGGGTGCCTAGTTGACCATGTATCTTAGCGCACTTGTATTCATGGCGAGGCGCAGACGCCGTCTGGAGGTGACAGGTTCAATTCCCGGCACGGTAACTATAGCTTTCGATATTTATGTTGTCTAGTGTGTTCTTCTATCTTTCTACTTCTTTCTATGAGTGCCGTTTACAATACTTTCTGTTACTTGATTAATTCTCTATTAATTAGAGATGGCATTGGGGCTAAGCAAAGTGACTGCAGCTGGATTTCCCAGTTCTATTTTTGGCCTGGATTTATCTTTACAGTGTGTTTGGCGATCAGTATTGTAATTCCCCGAGATTCCCTCTTCTGTTGTCTCACCACTCTCTCTCTCTCTCTTCCCTCCCTCTTTCACTCTTCTACCTATTGCTCCTTCCTTCCCGTCTCCTGCATTGTCTCTAACCCTCCCTTCTGATCTTCATCTTCTTCTCTTTCTCTCTATCTTTTCTTTTACTCTCTCATTTCCTGTCCCCCTCCCCCTTTTTCCTATTTTATTTCTTGTTTAAATGTTTAGTAAATGTGCGGCTCTATAACTCTTCCTAGCAACTCAAGTACACAGGAAGTTGTATTGGGGGGGGGGGGGGGGGGGGCATTCTGTGGGAACATGGTGGATATTTTCTTTTGATGTGTTTGTTTTCCTAGCGGCCTTAATCTCTGTCCATCTCCCTTCCCGCCCCCTCACATTTTTGTCCTACCTGTTCCTCACTCTCTGACTGTCTGTGTCACTGCTTTCCTCTCTCTCTTTGTATTTGCCGCTCTCCCTCACTCCCTCCCTCTCTTTCTTTCTTTCTCCATACCTTCAGTTGGTGTATAAGGTTATGTGTTGCCTAGTGCAGAACATTTCATGTCCATCATTCCCCCCTCCCACACATTAAATATATGTGTACTTTTAAAAACACATTTGCCGTCACCTTCCCCCCCCCTTTTCTCCTCCCACATTGATGACACCTAGGGGAGGGAGTGCACCCCTTCCTGCTACCTTCTTCCCTCTATATCTCATCTTATTTCTTACTCCCTTCTTTCTCTCCCTGTCTCATTCCCACTTTATTTTCTTAAACTTTATTCTCTCACCTCCTCTGTCTCACCCTTACCACCTCAGCCTTCTACACCACTTTCCACCACCTCCTCTCTCCCCTCCTTTCTGTAATTGGAAAACCAGAAATAAAATGAAGTCCACTGCTGCCCTGACCTATTTATGTGTCTGACCTATTTATGTGTGTGGGTAAACTTCTCTATTTTCCACCAGTGGTGGGTTGGGATCCCCTGGACTTTTTTTTTTCTTCATAAAATGACCTTGGCTCTCAGGTCACCAGCCTTAAGTGTAAGAAATTGAATTATTGTTGTCACACACAGATAGGACAAGCAAGGGGCAGTAGGGGTTAGCACTGTTGTTTTTGGACCACGGCCACATTCACATTGGGAGAGGGTAGGAACCGGAAAAGTGGCCTCACTTAGAGATTTCCTAATTCTATTTTGGGCACTCATTGTTCTTACACCCCCCCCCCCCACAACCGTGTCTTACCTTTCTTCTCTCACCCCTTCTCTTTCCTTTGATCTTCTACTATTCTCCTTTCTCTCTCCATTCTTCCTCTCTTCCTTTCCTTGCCCTTTCTCCTGTCCCATCTCTTCTTTGTCTCCTCTCCATCCTGTCTTTTCATTTTCTCTAGATTTCCTTACCCGCTCCCCTCTCTCATTCTCTCTCTCCCCCCCCCCCCATTTTTTTTTACCTGGTTCATCTACATATTTTTTTGCCCCATAACTATCTTTTCCTAGTGGTTGTGTCCACTACACTTGAAATTGTGTGTGGGGGGGGGGGGGGAGTGGGTGGCTGTTTTTTTTCTTTGAGGTATCTTGTCTCCCTTCCTTCCCCCCTCTCTTAATCTGTGTTTGTCACTGCCTTCCTTACCCACCTTTCTCTCTCTCTCTTGCTTTATGTCTGTTTGCCTCCCTTCATCACTTCCTCTTTGTATACCTCCCTCCCATTCTCCTGCTCTGCCTTTTTTCTCTTTCTTTGGTTCTCTCCCTCTGTCTGCTTGCCTCTCTGTGCTGTCCCTTTATGTCTACATCTCTCTCTGCTTGCATCTGCTTCTCACCCTGTCCGTTCTCTCTCCCTCTGTCTCCCTTCTTTCAACTCTTTGTCATATTTTCCTCCTTCCATATCTCTGTTTCGTTCCCTTTTTCCCTTCTCTTTTCATCTGCCCATCTCTGTATCTGCATTCCCTCTTTCTGTATTTGTCTCCCTCTCTGTCTTTCGCTGTCCCTTCCCCACTTTTCCTCATCATGTCTCCATCCCTCCCTCTCATTTTTTCCTCCTTCCCCAGACTTCTTTTCCTTCTTTTCTCTACCTTCATCTGTCCATCTTTACACTGTCTCTCCCAGCCTACCTCAGCATGTGTCTTCCTCTCTCTTCATGACTCTCTCTCTCTCCCCTAACCCTCTCAGGTACCAGGTCCAGAACAGACAGGACTTCAGTTTGCTGCCCTCTACCACCAAGCCCTAAAAAAATTTCAAACACTATATCAAGCTCAGGGGCCGACCAACACGAAGATGGACACAGGATATAAGTGACTCCTTGAGTATAAAAAAGTACATGAGGCGGGAGAGCTGGTGAGAGACCGAGTTTTTTTTGGTCAGGATAAAGGAAATGCTACATGATGATGATATCTGTGCTGGTATACCAACACATGTGGCACAAATGAAGTACCTTGTGTGCTCAGTACACCCTTGAACAAGGCAAAAATCTTGTATTAGTATTACACCGAGACAACCTTGAAAAAAACTAAGGAGACCTTGAAAAAGACCTTGAAAAGCCTTGAAATTGATTGGTAAATTTGGCTATGAACCCTGAGAATCACTAATGTAGAGAACTGGTGCATTCGTAGAATAGAGGGAATTGAATGGTATATAGAATCACTAATGTAGAATATCTTGGGTCACTGGTTACCAACAATGGTGACACAATGAAAGAAATTAAACGGCGACTATCAATTGCTCTTCAAAGACTAAAACAACTGAATAAATTATGGAATTGTACAGATAGAATTACAAAGGTCAGATTTTTAAGAGCATGCATCTTTCCCATTGCAACATACGCCTGTGAGACCTGGACACTTACTAAACAAGCGGAACAGCGCATAAATGCATTTGAATATAAATGTTACAGACAGGTTCTAAGAATATCTTGGGTAAAGAAAAGAACAAATGCATCCATACTTCAAGAGCTGAATATTGAAGAGGGTTGGCTAGTAAAGACAATAAAACAAAGAAAATTGAAATATTTTGGTCACTTGAAACGTCATGGAAGTCTAGAGAGAACAATAATGGAGGGGTATATGCCTGGGAAGAGAGGAAGAGGAAGGCCAAGGAGAAGATGGGTGCAGGATGTGGCAGATGATCTCCAGATGGGTGTATCAGACGCAGGACATCTTGCTCAGGATAGGAAGGTTTTCCGGAGGGTTGTTATGGCAGCGAGGTTCCGCGAGGGACATGCTACTGAATGAATGAATAAATGTAGAGCTTTGGGAGAGAACTAAACAAGTTCCACTGGACCAAGAGGTGAAGATAGGACGCTGGCGTTAGATGTGATATGTTGAGAAAACCTGAGAACAATGTAACTAAAAGGTCTTTGTACTGGAACCCACAGGGGCATAAAAATAAAGGAAGACCAAAAAACATGGAGAAGAAAGCTAGAGGGCAAAGTTAAAAAAATGGGGAGATCATGGTGTTAAGATAGTATTGTACCATTACTAATAGTGAGACGAGGGGGTGCGTAAAATGAATAACTGCACAAGAGCGTTTTACAAAATGAAAAATATTTCATGCAATCTTTCTTTGTCGATTGAGACGAGAAAGCAAATTCTTTAAAACTATATACATCCTATCTTGATTTCCGGAAGTGAATCATGGACAGTTGGTAGACAAATGAAAAATTATTTGGAAGCTGCGTAGATGTGGTTTCATAGACGAATGATAATACCCTGGACAGATAAAAAGAGTAAAGTGGATGTCTATAAAGAAACTGACTCGCAAAGAGAACCGACTGCCGACATCGGAAAGAGACAATCTACATTCTTTGGTCATGTTATAAGAAAGAGAATACTGGAGTACATCGTGACAGTAGGAAATCTGGTAGTCATGCCTATCGACCTTCTGACTTGTATACTTTCAATAAACTCTAACACAGATGATCCTCCATGTCATGATATAGAAGTGTCCAACATTGTTTCTCTCGGTCTCTCTCTCTCTGCCTCACCTTTCCTTCAACTTTTTATATAAAATAAAACTATAAGTTCAGCAATAAGCTCGATGCCTCATTGACGTGAAAAAATTTACTTTTATTTTCAACTACAAGCGCTGATGGCACTATTTAGCACCGAAATGCACTTGACCGTATGCATATTTTGAGCAAAGTACGTACTTTTGAAAGATGCCCTCCCAGCATCGTATACCTGTTTTAGAAATGAAACATCAACATCTGCTTCACAATAAAATCTTGAAAATATTATTAGCCTAAAAAACTGGGAGCAAAAATGCACTTCAAACTTCCATGTGATCATAACAGAGTTCTCTCGAAATGTTTAGGAATCACAGGTGAGCTTACGTTTGTCTCCAGGACTGGTTACAGAATTTGGGACGCAGTTCAGTTTGTAGAAAACAACAATTTCAAAATTGCTCCTCGTTCAACTGCCTAATCGTCATGTTATATTGAAGAGGGTTTTCTTTGCTCTTTTTCGAATTCTTTTTCTTTGCGGCGTGCAGTTTCGCATGAGTCTTTATTTGTTTGCTTCATTGTCTGTTGTGGCTTGGGAAGGTTTTGCTGGTGCGGTGCTAAGTCCTCTAAAGGACTATTCCTATGCTGTGCTGTTTGTGTTCTGCTGTCCATCGGGCCACCATGTCGCCTGCAGTTTTCGTGGGCCTTGTATGCTGTGTCTCCGGTAGGTTATTTCTTGTATTGCTGGCGCCTGTCTCGTTTTGTCACCCACTGCATCTATTTGCTTCCCCTATTTGCCTCCAAGATAATGAAAAACTGCATCCCACAAAAGGTGACGAAGAATTAATAAGTATCTTTCATTTGTAGGTAGGTAGGTAGGTAGTTGTACCTGGCCAGGACATCACACAAACGATAAACACCCAATGACACAAAGTGCCACCATGCGGGTGTTTATCACCCGTGGAGAGGTCCCGGAAACCCCGTTGAGCCGTTAGACCATATTTAAGGCCCGGTATATTTAGGGCCCCCCGGCAAAAGCCGAAGTGGGGCTTAAATAAAAAAAAAAAAATAATAAACAAAATTGCATTCCAATTTGAATGTATCCTAATACAAAATTAAGTGCATTTGAAAATAAATGTCAGAAAAATCATGAAACTGAAATGGTATGCTTTTAAAAAAAAGAGTGAGGAGATCAGAGAAATATCTGGACAAATACCTGCGATAAGACAAAAAAGGTGGAAATATAATGGGCACATTCTGAGACGAAACGAGCAAAAAATTACAAAACAGGCATTAAAATGGGAAACAGTCTGAGAAAAAGAGACTCTTGCTACATGGAAAATGCACGCCCTTGCTGGTGATTAGCCATAGACATTTAATGCTGCTTGCATTGCTGAGACTTGCTTTACATCTATCCTACAAATTAATTTACAGGTACAATCGCCAGATTATGATAACTGTAACTTACCTTGCATCGTCTGCCCACTAGGTTTGATACTGCTTCTAGTGGGGCTTTATGACAACTCATGGGTGCTCCTGCAACTACTGCTGGTGCCTCGTTGCGGCGGTAAGACACCGGTCCAGTACGAGACGGACTGTGTGGGACTGCACTACAACCCTCAAGACGTGGCCCGTGCAGGATTATGGGAAGTGTGTCATTTTTTCCCCTTTGGTTATATCCCCGAGTTTTACTACCACACGGAACCATATTGCTCCAAATTCTCAGACGATGAAGAACCGGGTATGCTGCCCGTTATTTGTAAATCTCAATTCTCAATAGCCCTGTGTAAGCTCCAGTACCACATTTTGGGTAAAGGGTGCGGAATAATATATAAAAAAAAGGGGGGGGGGGGACAAATAGACCCACTGCCAACTAACAAGCATGTCTTGAAATGGGACTTATTAAGGGTGTTTCATTTGAAGAAGTTCATCTGCTGGAAAGGCACACACACACACACACACACACACACACACAAAAAGTCTACAAACATATAAGTCAGATCTGTTTAAACTGATATGTGCGCAAAATTTAACACAACTAAAGCCTAGAAGCTGACGAATAACCAAAACTTTCCGCCGGAGTTTACAGCCCGTGAACGCGAAGAAGTAAAAGAACTCTTAACCCTATCAGTACTAAGCACTTCCTGCAACACTGTCTATCCAACGACTATGCATTTAAGGGTGAATTTCCGCAGGCCTTATTATAGTATACATATTCAAAAAAGTTTAAAGTTGCTACTGAGACGTAAAATGATAAGAAATTTGAACAATGTGTAAAATAATACAATTAAAAGTACATTGAATTACATGGTACTTTAGAATGTTGAGATAATCAGATTTCTCTAGTTTAAAACGATGTTTCTGTTTCGTCTCACGTGTTAGACAAGATTAACATTACGAATCAGACGAAACGAAACATAAACCTTCTGTCTGGTCGGTAGACTACAGACATGAAACAGCACCGCTTACATTAAAAAAAAAATATATATATATATTCATGCTGAAAATTTAGATTCCTTGGTCATAAAAACCTATTTTCGTTATAAATTTTATAGTAATCTACAACTCGTAAAAGTTAACACTGGGCAAATTAGACACCTTAACAGTATAGGCTACACACAGAACATTTTTATATCCTTTGAATTTTATCGCTAAGACATTAATTAAACAAGCTTCCTAAATATGCACTACAAAGTCTTTCAAAGTAGTCCTGGAATTAAATAATGGCTAATGCAAATTACAAAAATACAGCCCTCCCCATACCGCCTAGTCGAATATCACAAGGACGTCCCCGGTTGACCAACAAAGACCGTCACATAAAGTAAGAAAGTCCTTAGCTCCAGCGACGACTACAAGGTTATTTGAAAGCTGCGCACTCATGAACAGAAATTCGGAATCCGAAACCGAACTCATGACCTTCAGAATGCAGGGTTTACCGCTTAGCCAGCGTCGACAGTGTTATTAGATATTCTACCAGGCAGTTAGTAATGTGATTTCAGTCAGAGATACGTCAGTTAAATGATTTCTTGTATTAAATTGTGTGATATTGTAGACTTGTGTAATAGCCGCAGTCGAGGTTTAAACTTCACCGCAATCGGGGTTCCCCATACTTGCTCCGTTCTTGTGCTAACGCAAACCAAATGAAATGTCTCTGAATGTTGCAATTGAAAAATTGGAGAACAAACAGTCCCGGAATAATCAAGAAATTTGCGCACACAGTAAATGCATATGGCAGTTGCTAGAGGGGCCAAAGCAACAGTCGCCACCAGAAATGCAGTTTGTCGTTGATGGAAGTAGTCGGGAACGAAAAGTTTATCTATAACATACAGTTATTGTCATAGGTATTAGGTATGTAAATTTTACCCAACCAGAAAATCACACAGAGCGATAAACACCTGGTGACACAAAGTGCCACAATGCGGATGATGATCACCCGTGGAGAGGTATCAGAAACCCAGTTCAGCCGTTAGGCCATATCTATGGCTAGGCCATATCTATGCCCCGGCTATATTCAGGGCCCCCGGCAAAAGCCAGGGTGGGGCTTCAAATAACGAAAAGTTGCATCCCACATGGGAACGACTGATAGAGGTCCCGGAAACCGCGTTCAAACATAATGCTATAACTGCGGCAGTATGAATACCATGTCACAACTGCCGCATAAATGAAACGCATTTCACGTGAAAAAAACCACAGCTCACAGGCCTGCACCAAGCACTAAACCTAGTAGCTCAAGCAGCAAAACGTAGATTACCGTCCATATGAGGAAATCTGCATTAACAAAGCGCTGTAAAAAGCAAAAATTAGAAGCCAAACATTAGGCCATTCCTAATCCTCCATTTTAGACTGGAAGCCAGACTTATGTAACAATGCTCTGTTGTGGGTCTTCTAGCAGCAACGTTCGCTTGTCGTTTGTGTGTGTGAGATTGTGAAGCTGACATGTTCTTTAGTTCGTTCGGGTTGACATCTTTTCAGTGTCCTTTGTTTACTTGTGTAGGTTACACTGAGTGTAAAGGACCCTTTTTCACGCCTTCAGACGGATTGGGCATATAGGGCTAGACCTACATTTTACATACCAATCAATACTTGGTGGGTGATGTGGTCAACATCACGTTGATGTCTTTACTTCCCCGGACTTTACATGATTAAAGCTGGGTCTACTTGGGAGCCTAGGTCATTATTTTAAACAAGTCCAGTTCCCTTGGAATTTGAACCCTCGACCATTAAATCCACAGGCGAGTGTCTAGCCGCTAAACCCCAGCTTTCCCCTCACGCTGAATAAAATACTGATTATTATTAGAGTGTATTAGGTTTCTCATTTATACAGTAGAGGGCTGAGTAGTCTCGAGGTATGTCATCAGCCTCGAGTGCTGGAGGTCCCGGGTTCAAGCCCGCGTATAGGCTGGGACTTGATCAGGCGGACTTCTAGTAATTTCCCCTGGTCTCTGGGTAGCAATACCGGACGTCCGTGTGTATTGTTGCGCACGTAACAAATAACTTGGTAGTTAGAAATAAAAAAGAGTAGCCTAACGGCGCTGCACTGGAAAAAAAAGTTTTGAGTTTAAAATCTATTAAAAGTATTTAAGGATCCTCGCCGGTGCAACGGAATTTGTGCACTGCGCTGAAAACCTTCAGACACAAGCTTGAGTTTGAAATAGAACGGAGCACTTACGGGTTACACCTTGTGTCATGATATTGATCCGTTGAATAAACATGAACAATTAGTCATACAGTAATTTGTTTCTTTCCCGGAAACTCCTCTGAAATTTACCAACAATCCAGCGGAGTGGTTGGACACGGCACAGTTTCTGTGTCAGCTAGCGGTGGCTCTGAACGTTGCTGGCATGTTGGCGTGCGTGCTGGCGGACATTGTCAGGTCGAGGGACATCTGTGACACTGGTTCTATAGTACTTGTAATCAGTGGTACGTGCTACAGTCATGCAGTCAATTGTTCAACGTCCAGCATTTCTTTCTTTCCACTAAAAAGGTTTCTTTGGGCTTCGTTCGTTCGTTCCTTTCTTTCTCCCTTCCTTCCTTCGTTCCTTCCTTCGTTCCTTCCTTCGTTCCTTCCTTCGTTCCTTCCTTCGTTCCTTCCTTCGTTCCTTCCTTCGTTCCTTCCTTCCTTCCTTCCTTCCTTCCTTTCCTTCCTTCCTTCCTTCCTTCCTTCCCTTCCTTCCTTCCCTTCCTTCCTTCCTTCCTTCCTTCCTTCCTGCCTTCCTTCCTGTCCTCCTTCCTTCCTTCCTTCCCTTCCTCCCTTCCTTTCCCTCCTTCCTTCCTTCCCTTCCTTCCTTCCTTCCATTCCTTCCTTTCTTCCTTCCTTCCTTGCCTTCCTTCCTTCCTTTCCTTCCTTCCTTCATTCCTTCCTTCCTTCCTTCCTTCCTTCCTTCCTTCCTTCCTTCCTTCCTTCCTTTCCTCTCCTTTCCTTCCTTCCTTCCTTCCTTCTTTCCTTTCTTCCTTCCTTCCTTCGTTCCCTTCGTTCCTCCTTTCGTTCGTTCCTTCCTTCCTTCCTTCTTCCCTCCCTTCCTCCCTCCCTTCCCTTCCTTCCTTCCTTCCTTCCTTCCTTCTTCCTTCCTTCCTTCCTTCCTTCCTTTCCTTCCTTCCTTCCTTCCTTCCTTCCTTCCTTTCCTTCCTTCCCTTCCTTCCTTCTTCCTTCCTTCCTTTCCTTCCTCTCATTCCTCCCTTCCTTCCTTCCTTTAATCTTTTCCTTCCTTCCTTCCTTCCTTCCTTTCCTCTTCCACCTTCCTTCCTTCCTTCCTTCCTTCCTTACCTTCCTTCCTTCCTTCCTTCCTTCTTCCCTTCCTTCCTTCCTTTCCTCCTTCCTCCCTCCCCTCCCTTCCTCATCACCTTCCCCCTCCCTTCCTCCCTCCCCCTCCCTCCTCCCTCCCTCCCTCCCTCCCTCCCTCCCTCCCTCCTCCCTCCCTTCCTTCCTTCCTTCCTTCCTTCCTTCCTTTCTCCCTTCTCCGACTTCTTCTTCACCTGAATGATTAATCTTTTTATATAGTAAAGTAATGGTCCTTTCTCTTCGCCTTTAGTCTGTTTGGGAGTAAAGCGCTAGACCAATATTTTGTAGACCAATATGCACTTAGTGGATGATGTAGTCAGCACCACATCAGTCGCCTTTACATCCCAGGACGGCACCTGGTACCCATTCAGGCTGGGTCGACATGGGAGTCAAGGTCATTATTGAAAAAAAAGTCTGGCTCTGTTTGGATACGAACCCACGACCTTCCGATCCACAGGCGGGCGTCTAGCCGACAACGTCACTGCTATTCAAAATTTTTTTTAATATGTGATGACTAGAAAAGTTTTGTTGGGCTTTCCTTCTTTCTTTTCTTCTTTTCCCACTTCTATCTATCTTCTTTTACCCCACCAGGACATCACTCAAGCGATAAACACCCGATGACACAATGTGCCACCATGTGGATGAGGATCACCCGTGGAGAGGTCCCAGAAACCGCGTTCAGCCTTTAGATCATATTTATGTCCAGACTATATTTCAGCCCCTGTCAAGAGCCAGAGTGGGGTTTCAAAATAGCGAAAAATTTCTGGCTCTTTATGGGATGCCATTTTTCGTTATTTTGAAGCCCTACTCTGCATCCCATAAAGGAATTACAAGATAGCAATTGTTACCGCTTCTTTTTCTTTTTGTTTTTCTGTTTCTTCTTCACCTGTATGGTTAATTTTTTTTTATGTGATGAGTATATGTTATCCATGTAGTAAACTGACATAATATTTCGTATATGAACAATAATGAAACAATGGGTCGTAGAAGCAGAGACGAAAGTCCGCCAACACGATGTTGGACAGAAGATATCAAAGACATATTCTGCATTCAAGGTCACATACATAGCAACCCACACCTCAGGGGCTATAACTCGCTTTTGTACTACCTATTGAGTTTTCCCCCTTCATGATCCGAATGCCGAGCCGCCGTCGTGTAGCCAGTTAGACGATTGTCTGCGGATCCGAAAATGAAGAGTTCAAATTCGACTTTAAAAAAAATGGCCCTGGCTCTTAGGTTGACCCAGCCTTAAATGGGTATCAGTAAAGTTCTGGGAAGTAAAGGCGGCCGATGGGATATCAATCCCCCACCAAGTGCCGAGCGTCTATAAAATATAGGTCCAGCGCTGTATGCCCAATACGCCTGAAGGTGAGAGTCCTTTACTTTTTTTTCTGAAAAGCCGAGACACTTTTAATGTATGATATATTGCCCGTGAGGGTTCCGTGCCCTGCCTGCTAGCGTAGTTGGTTAAATCTGACTTCGCGGTGACCGGGTGACGAACTCCTGGTGGTCAGGGCTCACTCCCGGGGGTAGTCAGAAAAGGCACATTTCTCCCAGATTTTCAGCATCTATCATGGAATCAAGGTCGAAGGGTTGCGATATCCACAGTACTGAGCCTGGATATTTTAAAAAAAAAAACTTGGCAATATGTAATATAATTGATGTTTTTCACTGTGGCAATCACAGCTGCTACCCAAAAATGTAAACTGTGTGTGTCGTTCACAAATGGCCAACATTCGGATGAGGATCACAAAGGGACAAGTTGCAGAAACCCTGTTCAACCCATATGTTGGGTTGTTTGTTGTTTGTTTTAGTATCCAGAAGCCATGAGTTGTTAACCCTTAGGCTCGGTATTATGGATATCGCAACCCTTCGGCCTTGATTCCATTGTAAATACCGTAAATCTGGGATAAATGTGGCTTTTCTGCCTACCCCCGGGAGTGAACCCGGACCACAAGGAGTTTGTCACCCGCTCACCGCCCAATCCGGTTTAGCCAACTAGGCTAGAGAGCCGGGCATATGTTGGGTTAGATTAGAGCACACGGCAATAGCCAGCGTGGCGCTTTAAAACAACAACAAAATTGCATCTGGCATTGGGACGCATCAATCTTATGTTCAGAATGGATAGCATAGGATAACACAAATATACAAATATAGGTCAGCTTCACAAAATTATAATGACGCAATCCAGATAAGGAATGTTGAGGCAACAATCTTCGTCGGCAAACAAGAAACAACACAAAACAAAGAAGGAAATGACGCTAAACTAGTTACAAAGGGCAGTGGTATGGCACTATGACACACCTGTCGTCTTTATTTCCAATAATGTTTCTTTATGCGTATTTTAAGCTGATCGAACTGGAAGCCATGGTAAATTATTCTTTTTTTGTTTTGTTTTTGTTAATTTTTATTTTAAACCAACCTGAATGCTGCCGTCTTACTATCGGGTCACCATTGGGATGGGGGATAGGGAGAACAGACCATACTGTCACCCTGGCAAGCATGTACTAAAATGCAAATAATTAGGTTCCCCCCCCCACCCCTTTGAAGTCGGAGTGCATCTGCCTGAGATACCAAGAGTCTGCATACAAGTAAGCAAATTATTTGCGTATCCTTAACAGGACGTTGTAAAACCAACCACAGCATTTTTTTTTTTTTTTTTGCTGCTGTGGTTTTTTTTTCTAGGCAAATTTACGTCCAGTAGTTTGCCATTGCTTACTACACGGTCGGCTCTCGGTACCACTGTTGAAACCAACGCAAGACAAACTGTCCCAACTGGGATCGAACCAGGCACCCTGGCATTACGATGCGCATTCGCAACGCCTAAGCCACAGATGCCGACGCATACAAGTAAGCCAGATCAACAAAACGGATGTGCAGGCAAATCTCACGTTTCGGAACAAGTTTAAATTCCAGAAGTGGACCAAGAACCAGAATTTTCCGCCGGAGTTTAAAGACGATGGAAGCTGTTTTATGTTTTATGTTTGTTCAACGGATCAACATCATTGCACACGAGTGAAACCCATAAGTGCCCCATTCTTCTTCTAACTCAAACCTGAGTCTGAGGAATCTCAGCACAGTGCACGTATTCTGTTGCACTAACAAGGATCCTGAATTACTTTGGGTAGATTTTGAACTCCAAAGTTTGCCTGGGCAGCGCTGTTTGGCTACTCTTTTCGATTTTCAAATGCTAGGATTTTGTATGTGCACAACAATACACACGAGCCTCCCGTTTTATTACCAGGGGAAATTACTAGACGTCCACGTGAAAAAATTCCAGCCTTCACGGAAGCTTGAACCCGTGACCTCTAGCACTCGATGCGGACACCATGCCTCGAGACACGCAGCCCGCCGGTAGACGCTAAGAACAAGATTAAGCCCCCACGAGAATTCATATACAAGAACTTGGCCAAAAGGCAAACGTTTAGCACCTTATTCTCCCCGACTTTGCGACTGTCGCAATCATTGTCGCTACTAAAAATGCTGGGCACGTACCAGATGCAGGAGCGGTGACTTCAGGCACTGGAATCTGGACAATGTTCTGGTATATGGGAACTATTCTCCAAACAAGGCAATCGGTGTGAGGTAACTATGCAGTGGATACCATCCTACAATAAAGTTTCCGTAAATGAGAGAGCTGATTAACTAGCTAAGGAAGGTGCAAATGAGAACCAACCTGACGTTTTTGGTATCAGAAGAAGATAATCAGAAAGCCACCAAAACTGGTAAAAGACGATTACCATACAATGGACAAACCAGAGCAAGTTATTATTCTACGCCTTAGAACAGGACACAATCGACTTCGCAGCCACATGTACACATAATTTAAAATCGGCGAATCAGCCATGTTTACACGTTGATTAGCACATGAGACAACAGATCACGTCTTCCAAGACTGTCCCAAATGCAATATATTGAGGCAAAACTTTTGGCCAAGAGAAACACTAGTGCAAGCTAGACTTTACGGGTCACTGAAGGAATTACAAAAGACAGTGAAGTTCATACTAGAGACACAATTGCAGATATAGATAATCTATTTCAAGCGAACGAAAGAAGAAGAAGGTAAGCATGTAAATAATAAAAGATGCCAAAATTTATATAAGTATAAATCTCATTATGTTTTATGTTATTTCTGTTTTACATTCACACAACCACACCGGTTATTTCCCCAGCTGCCTGCGGACTTCTAGGATTGACCAAATATTACTCAAATATCAGCAAGGCGTTCTTGATACCGTACAAACGGAACATTGTCTCCATGTACGCAAACCGAGGCACGTTTTACTTCATCCAAGGCTGCGCCATGACCTTAGTAGCCGGCTTGTTACAGGCACGGATCAAACTCTGATGTTTCTAGGAATACAAGAAAAACAGAGAGATGTACCACTGCACGGAGCATATGTACTGGCAACTGATACTGTTTACATTACAGTGGAGAAATATTGTAGCGGAAGGATTGGTTGTCTTTCTAGTTTATTTGCGCATGAGGTGTGAGATAATGAGAAAGAGGAGAATTAGAACGGTGAGTGGGGGGGGGGGGGGGGGGGGGTGGGGCTTGGGAAAGGCCCTGATTTTTACTGAGGGTGGGTGGCGCTCAATGGGCCAATCTCACCCAGTTTCTGGCGCCCCAGGAGTATAGGTTTATATACCCTAAATAAGCTGATGCTACAAGAATAACAGGGCGTTTTTAGGCTAAGGGAAGCTACCGTGTTGTAACGGATACACACTGACTACACACAGACACATACACATGATACAGAGGTAGAGACACACACACAGACGCACATACAGACACACTCAGTAACATACACAACACTCACACTCACAGACACGCACACAGTCACACAAATAGACACAGACCCACAAACAGACACGCACAACACACACATAGACACATGCAAACATTATCAAATAGACACATACACACACAGATACACACAAAGCCATACACACAAACACACACAAGCATAGACACATACGCAGCCACACACGCAGACAAACCTACAGACACACCTACAGATACATGCGTGGATACACACATACACAAACACACATTCACCACACACAGAGATAAAAAAAAAAAAAACACATACAGACACCCATCCACAGACACACAGATTGTCAAGAGATTACCAAGTCAATGTAGAGGGAACTTAATGGCATCTCCTCCTGGTGTGCAGATTCTAATGCTCATGTGATTCTCCCTGAACACGCATATAGTGAAGGCAGACTTACCAGCAGTGGAAAGCAGCGAGAAAATTTTGACGAGAACAAATCTGATGACATACATCGGAGTGAGGTTTGATTGCAGCCTATCCTTCCAAAAACATGTTGACCATGTCATAACAAAAGCACACACAGGCCTGTCAACAATGAGGGTCCTGGTTGCCGCTAACACTGAGCAGAGACTGCTTCGGCTTCTGTTCCAGGGACTTGTACTTTCTCATATCGAATATGCTCTTGCCATCCTCACTGTCAGCCATACTCAAATTAAAATAATTGAGAAGGTGCAAAATGCGCATTATCCTGGAGTTCACTGGAGACACCTCTTGTATAGCAATGAGGTACTTTCTTAACTTCCCTACCATAAACTACAGGATCAAGATGTTGAGGGCTCGTACATACCTTAAGATAAGCTCAGATATGAAGCACCCTTTGCATCACATGCTCTTCAAGAAAAAGGGCAGTAGGCTTGAAAGGGACAAATCATGGCTGGGTAGGGCAGATGATAACATCATGCAGGTCTGCAGCCTAACAGACATCCATCCAGGTGAGGAATGGATACCAGCGTCTAAAGCGCCCAGTCTCACATTCTCCTGTGTCGTGACGCTCGATATAAGTTGTCGGGAGCAGAATCCAGCTGCTGTCAATGCCGAGGTATGCGCGCTTATCAGTGACATGTCAGATAAGACAGATGTGGTGATCTTCACAGACGGGTATGTTATACGAAGACATAAAAGTGCATGAGCATTTACAGCTCGCTGTTCAGGCAGAACAGTTCAAGAAGCCAGCGGTGCTTTCTCCATGACCACCAGCACCATGGCGATGGAGGTGATGGCGGTGACACATGCTTTCCTTTGGCTGGGATCACAGGACTATTCCCGCGTGTGTGTGCTGAGTGATTCTTTGAGCATGATCCGGCAGGTCGAAGCAGGTTGGTTATGCAGACAGTGGTTTGAGTCATTGCAAAACTCTCCTATGTGTGCAGTTATCTTCATATTCGTCCCAGGGCTTGCAGGCGCTATTGGTAATGAAAGAGCTGATAGACTGGCAGGTGCTGCATTAATTAAAGATGGCCGGCCCATGGATCACGAAGACATTGTCATTGCCCTTAGAGAGATAGGACGTTCTAAGGATTTTGGAAGCAACGTGTCCACATCACTGCTAAGACTACTCGAATTGGGAGTAATGATCGGCACGGCTAAGCATGAGAAGCACACCGGACGCCCACGAAGTCTTGTTAACTAACACAAGACTGGCACTATTAACCGCACGACGCTGATGAATATGTTAAGAGGGAAATCTTAGCGCCTATGAATGTGTCCGGAGTGGTGTGAAGATAATAAAACTCATAATTCATAACTCAGATACACAAACACAGACACGCACGCCGACACGGACACCCACGCGCACGCACACACACACAGACACACATATGTACATACAAGCGCGCATATAGACACACACCCACAGTCACACAGACACGCACACAGACACAGACAGGTACACAGACACATACAGAGACATGCACACAGACACATAAAGACACCCACAGACTCACACACAGACACACTCACAAACACAAGCCCATACACACATACATACAGGTACCCAAACATACACAAAGACATTAGCACATACTTATACAATTACTCATACATACACTCATACATACACAGAAACATACATACCCAAAAACGTCTACACAGGCATACATTTCACACATATACGCATACATACATATCATACACATTGTATTTACTTATAAATTGATAATACAATATGGATTATTAACTACATTTAAGCTGGCATATAATCACTGATCATGAAATGAAAAAGCTTTCGGGTAATTGAGTAGGGACTCTGTGTAGTTTATAAATCGAGTGGAAGATGGACTCTTATGTACAAAATAAACTATACTCACCTGAGCATTGGAATTAAACTGTGTTTGGAAAGGGAAAAAAAAAGGGGGGGGGGGGTGAAGCACTTTTAAGAATGTCCAGAGCCTTGTGATGTTGGTTCTTGAGTCAACCTGTCTTTTTTACCACCTTTAGAGTGCCAGACTACATAAAAAGACAGCAAATCAAATGCTTTGCCCACTTGGAGAGAATGCCTTTTGATGCTATACCATTCAAGGCATATACTAAAAAATGAGACGGATGTAGAGCAAGAGGTAGACCAAGAATAAATGGAAGGATAACAACCGAGAAACTACAGTACCACGATTTGTCTTTGTTTGAAGCAGCCAGAAAAGCATGAAGCAGGACCTTATATCTCCCTCAACACCCGAAGCGGTAAAAGGGGACGTAAAGAAAAAGAAGAAGAAGAAGAAGAAGAAGAAGAAGAAGAAGAAGAAGAAGAAGAAGAAGAAGAAGAAGAAGAAGAAGAAGAAGAAGAAGAAGAGTGCGAGGCAAATAGCCTGATCCCTTCGCCATGGAGAGGTTTCCATTGTCATTATAATTTATTATCATCAAGTGCCTTGTCGACAAGCGTGGACGATCATGCCTCTCCAAAATCCACGAACTGTAACTGCAAGTATCAGTTCATGTGTTGACACCATTCCATGCCATGACAAAAGGCTGTCAAGAATCGCCTTGCACTGTCTTTCCTGTTTCTACAGACCTTTCCCGTGGTCACGATATGTCCAAGTTTCTCTCTTCTCATAACATGGCCAAACAATAAGGACTGTCTCTCTCTGATGTCTGTGATGTTGTCTTCAAGCCCTCGCCTGTTTCACAACATCTGGGTTACTTACTATTTGTTGGATGTCCAAGGAATTCTGGGGAGTCTTCTGTAAAACAACATCAACGAGGCCTCAAGATATTGTTTGGCCTAGTGATTAATTGTCCAGGATTCACAGCCACGTGTTAAAACTGGCTCTATATAGCATGCTATATTTCTTTTTGTAACCTCCAGTGACATGGATTTATTGTACAAAATGTTCTTCATTTTATAAAATGCTGTTTTGGTCTCTCCTATACAGCGATACATTTGTAGAACAATGACAAGGGGGCTAGAACCAGAACTAGGCTGTCATCAAGTTACTGCACAATAAATATCCTGTCGGAACACGCTTTGCATTGGGGCCTGAACCGTGCTTTTTCCCCCAGCTGTGACAATAGAAACCTCACCTTCCCCTCCTCATCTACACACATTAGGCATTAAACTGTTGTGATCTCAAAGGCTAGCACAGTACATGTATGATGTACTGTAACCGAGCACAGTACATGTATGATGTACAGTAACCGAGCGGCCCACCAGGTGGTGCTGCTAGAAACTAGGTGGTTGGTTACAGTATAAATTACTATTAGCATTGACAATTTATCAGACCTGGCAGCGGGTGATTACAGCTCTCATGCAGACAACTAACAATGACGTCACTGACAATTATGATTGTCAAACAAAGGAGATTGTAGTCGGTGATCTTGTAGATTAGTTATTGGGACTTGTTATGAGATTACTTTTTCAAAGATGTTTTGAAGTGCCCTTTGCATTTTATGGCTTCTGTTGTAGAGATCTGTTGTGAAAGAGCTGTTTCACAAAGCTGTCTAGGACGTTCCTCGATTGCTGTTCTTTGTTGTTGCAGAGACACTCAGCGGAAATATTTTACACAGACGTTGTCAGGAATTTCTGGTTTATTTCATGATGTGCTGATCAATGTAAAACTATACATAGCTGAGTCGACTGTTTTACATAGATGTATTCGCGATTGTATCCTCTATCCGTGACTGCTGTTCCGTGCGTGTTTTGGTGATTTGCCGCCAACTGTTTTAAAGAGATGTGACTGAACAATATAGATAAATGATTTATTTCTTGGCTGTCAGTGCGGCTTATTCAGCGTCGAGTGAGCAGCAGATCTCTACGGTATTTAACGCTTAGGGATAACAGCAGGCGACCGTTCTGTTACGTTGCATCTGGCATCATAGAATTGTGGACTCTGGAGTGTTTGTTACATTTGGAGAGCTCGACAAGTTTTCCTACGGAATTGATTAAAGTAGCAAATCACAATGGCTAAAATTTCAACTGCCAGCAACATCGTTGCCTTTGTTTGCACCTTCTTCTACAGAATAACGGTCCAGCTGGCAGTTGAAGTGACCAAACTAATGATCTTGCTGGCGATTCTTATCGCAGCTTTCAGTGTTATCGCTCTGGGATGTGTTTCTCTGTTGCTATGGACACATAGGGCTTATGAAGGTAGTCTTTTGGCCATGTCGTGCGCCGTTGTTCTAGTAGCAGTGTTGTTCGTGCTTGCGGCTGTTGTGGTCGAGCATCTGGTGAAGAACGTTCTTCGTTTAACGGACATGCCTTTAGCCCAGCTACTGAAGATCTGTCTCATGGATATATTTGGGAGAAGAAGGCAAACAAGACATCGCTGACTGCGCTAGGATTATTGAATGACCTTCGCAGAGTATTCTAAAATTATCGGTGCAGAGGTGAGTGATATGGAAATCATGCCGACACTCAAAGAAATGGCGACACGAACATATAATCAAACTGGTAGTGGTACGGCTGGAATTAAATATCTGCTGAAAACGGGTTATAGTGCGTATATAGGAATGTTCCGAGCTTTGTAATGCCAGATTTTAGCGCAACCGGAGACCAAGGCTCTTTATTTGACACACGTCTCTTGCCCAGTTACTGTCGATCTGGTCAGGGCAGGGGAGCAAAAAGGCAACGACGCATCGCTGTTTATTCTATCAACTGACGTTTTTCAGATCTTCAAAGATTATACGAGACCACTGGAGACAAACGGCTGTGCCGTTCACTTCGAAAGTACAATTTGTGCGAACACCCCTGTGGATCGTCACCGGAACTACGTTGTTCACGCTTTCTGTGACGCTCTCGGCAGGCGGCAAGCCGTTCTGCGGACTGAAGCCGACCCATATGGGATAAAAGAAATAGTGCTTTATTAATATCCTACCCCCATATGACGTCACAGGACAGTCTAACATTTTAGAGGGTGGTAAGACTGAGTTTCCCGGCTTTCTGATGATTTTTACGACCCCAAAACATTTAGAACCGTCCCTAACTCTAACACATCTACGTCCCACGGGAGAGTGCAGCCTAGGTCCCACGACTGCATGCAGCCTATCTACCACCCCCATGAAATATTACTTTCCCATGACCTATGCTGCAAATACTTAATTTGCTACGTTTTTTGCTCGTTTACAAAAAGCAGATTTCAGGAAAAGGAGAGTAGCGGGTATTGTGTATGTTTTGTTTGAACTTAAATTACTTTTGTGATCTTTGTTCTGGCCAATAGTGTATCATTATACAGAAGTTGTGAAACTGTTACTATGATAATTACCATCAGGTTGGTCAATAACTGATTACAACAAGAAAAAAAAAATGGGGAGGGGGGAACTGCAGCGTAAAAGTCTTTGTGCCGAAATACAGGTGCTCAAGGCAATCAGTGTGCAGATTATCTAGAAGACAAGGTTGGTACCACAACTGGCCCGGCGCTGCACAGGAATGATGCCATTAACGCCCTGCGAGCTGCATATCGCGAGAAAGGTCACGACAAGGAGGATCCTCAGTATCCTTGTCCAGGTTGGCGGACACGGCGCAGCCAGTTCTGAACATTTCACCAAGGGCATAAGGCACCTGGTTAATCAACAGAGAACTCTTGCGGGACTGCTAGGGAGGGGATTTGAGCACCTATAGATACTCTTTTGATAGTCCTCACTTATCACTAATTAATAGTAGTAGTAGATTTTACTCCACCAGGACATCACACAAATGATAAACACCCAATAACATAAAGTGCCACCATGTGGATGAGGATCAATCGTGGAGAGGTTCCGGAAACCGCGTTCAGCCATAAGATCATATTTATGGCCGGGCTATATAGCGGCAACTGCCAAGAGCCAGGGTGGGGCTTCAAAATAACGAAAAATTGCATCCCACAAGGTGATGACAATTGTAAATCACTAACAAAAGGAGATGGAAGTGAACATAGCTGAATTGATCATAACCACGGCATACAATGCCCTCTTAGACTAGTGGCAGGCTGGGTAGTTGGCTGGCTGTGCCGTGCTTTGCTTAAAAAAAATCGACACCTTCAACCAGCCTCCCCAAAGAGGGAGCTTTGGTTATAATTGTGACTAGGTTATTTGCACCATATAAAATTGCTTAGAACTGCATGACACCAAAATTTATGAAAAGGACTCCTGCAGTGTTATTGCGATCAAAGAAGACAGACCCAAATACTGCCAATGAGTGACCCGGTCTCCAATGAGTTATTTGGGGCACAGGCCAGAATTTATTAGATCAGTGATTAGGGATAAAGAAGTTAAGGAACAATTTTCAGTAACAGTTTCTAATAAGTACCAGGTGTTGCAGCAGTTAGCTGAAGATGTCAGCACTGAAGTCTGCTGGTATCAGATCAAAGAAATCTATAATAAATCTTGTGTAGAAGTTCATGGCAAGAAAGAACATAAACATAAAGCGTGGATAACACCAGAAACCATTAAATTGATTGAAGAAAGAAAAAGTAAAAAGGCAGACTTAAACAATAGCAAAACTAGAGCTGCTAAAGCTAGAGCTCAGGATAAATATACAGAAGCCAATAAGGAAGTTAGGAGGCGTATAAGTGGAGATAATGTGAACCAGCATAAACACAGCAACGGAACTGCTACATATTTTTTTTTAGTAAAGTCTGGGAGACCGAAGAAATACCAGCAGACTGGAGAGAAGGATATCTAGTGAAACTGCTAAAAAAAGGTGATCTACAGGAATGTGAAAACTACAGAGGAATTATGTTGCTGTCAGTTCCTGGATAAATATTAAGTAGAGTTATTTTGGAAAGATTAAAAGATGCTATTGATAAAAAGCTAAGAGATGAACAGGCAGGTTTTCGGTCGAACAGATCCCGTACTGACGATATAGCCACCTTACATATAATAACAGAGCAAAGCATTGAACTGAACTCACCACTTTACATTGGATACATAAACTATGAAAAAGCATTTGACAGCATTGATAGGGAATGTCTCTGGAAATTGATGGGGTACTATAGAACCCCTCAGAAAATTATTAACTTAGTAAAGGCAACATATAAAGACATGAAATGTCGAGTTCATTATGAGGGAAAGCTAACAGATACATTTGAAATAAAAAGAGGTGTGCGACAGGGATGTCTTTTGTCGCCTCCCTTATTTTTACTGGCTATATAGACTGGATTATGAAAACAGTAACTGCTAACACCAAGAATGGAATTCAGTGGACCCCTACAAAACAGCTTGCATTTTCTAGCATTGTCTTTCCCCCTTCTCTTGTTTCAGAAATCTCTGTAGTGGTCACAACATGTTGTAGTTTGCCTTTCTCCAGTTGAGTCAAGAATTGACATCACAGCACTCGGGGCATTTCCATGCATGCTCCATCCTTATCTTCAGCAGCCAGAGCAAAGTTATAATACTGATAGTACCAGTCACAATCTAGTTATATGTCTTGCCCTTCCTCTGAGTGTAGTGAGCCGGCCAGACCCTGTGGTTACACACAGATGCCTCAATCTCTCCAAGTCATAATAATCTTCTTTCTCTACTAATTCTGTTGCTTGTTCCCAAGGGGCCTTGACCACATCTGCCTTGTCATGTATTGTCCCTTCTTCAATAACACTGAAACCTTTTTACAATCACTGTTACCTCACTGTTACTGTGATTCAGACTGAGACTAAGACATTACAATCACTGTTACAGGAACACATATCATGCTGTCTATGTGTGATTAGGACTGATACTAAAATGTTACAATCACCGTTATCAAAACATACAACATATAAGTACTGTCTAGGGATGATTCAGACTGATACTAAAATGTTACAATCACAGTTATCAAAATGTACATCACACAGGGGTTGTCTAGGTATGATTCAGAATGGTACCAAACATTACAATCACCATTATTAGTAAATACAGCACACACAAAATTATGTCTAGGTGTGAGTAACTGAACAAATCAACACAAACTCGACAATAAAACTATTATTTTATGTGATTTTCATTTGTTTGGACATCTTTAACAATAAAAGCTCTCAAGAGGCAGTGATTTCACACAGTTGTAACCAATGCAGTAAACATGTGGTTCAGTGTGCAAAACAATCTTTTTGTGTGTGTGCGCACGCTCGAGCCTACCTAAGCAAAGGGATGCTTGCCTGAATGCTAACAGCGACCTTTTTCCGGACCAATCCATGGTGCATGATTCATTTAAAATTAACTCTTTGTTTAACTCTGCTGCATGTTTCTTTCATGATTTTGTAGCAAAGCCACTGGAACAGGTTTCAAATGAACACTCCTAACATAATGAAGGTGACGGAAGGCATCCACATCGCACTGTCTTATTTCTATTTTATCTTAAGTATTCTCTCATAAGAAAGGTAAAGGTAAAGTCGAGAGATGTGAACCAGCGTCACTGCATACGGTTATAAACCATAAGTGCTCTGCCACCAGTATGGACTGCTGATAGGAAACATGTCAGCCTGTGTCGCCATCTGCACGAAGCTCCGTAGCTACAGCGACACTCCTCCATTTACCCAGAGTGTTAACTCTGGTACCCATTTCCTAGACGCTGGGAGAACCTCAGGAACTGTCCGGTTTCAAACCCCAGCCGTGGGCTGCAGTGAGTTGCAGCTGGATTTGAAAGCGAGTCTCCTATCAACTGCGCTAAGGCGGCCCCTTTCTTTCATAACAGTTGCATTCCATGTATTCATAAATTGCCCTTATTAAGCAAATGACTTATTGTGAGACCCCATATCTCATTTTGAAAGATTCCTTTTCACAGTCTTCAGATCTAATGTAGGATGCAGAGGTGCCGAACCAATAGTGCACCAGGGCCAGGATTAAGACCTATCTATCAACGCCTCTTTGCTCCATCTGAAACATTATGCAGCCATTCACAAAATTACCGTCATTTTGTCCCAGGGCACGCTGGTATGAAAGGCAATAAGAGAGCAGACGCTCTGGCTGGCAGTGCGACTATCAGGAAGGGGCCCTCTATGGACTGGAGAGACATCATCAATGCCATACGAGAGACTAAACTCAGTGAGGTTTTCAGTTTCGTGGGAAATGATTTATCACTGAATAGACTGCATACCCTGGGTGTACCAATTGGAGCCGAGAGACAAGAAAACCATGTGGAAGACACTTGTCATTACATCAACCAGAATAGAATGGGAGTTGTTAAGCCCAATATTTAATGACATACACTAGAGAAGATCCCAGCACTTATGGTCATATCCGATGTGCAATGACAATGATCTCAAAAATAAACAATGAAGAACGAAGACACCTCTTTGTGGTCATCTCAGAAATAGGTTCCCAACAAGGTACATGGCCAATGTAGATAAGATCAATTTTTTTCTTTAAAGTCAGAGTGCACCTGAATGAGTATCAAAGAACCAACAGCCTGTACACAAATAATCCAGATCTGTAAAATGGATGTGCACACAAAACTCGAGTCCTGGAACAAGACTTAAGTCCAGAAGTGGATGAACAACCAGGATTTTCTGCTTGAGTTTACAGCCTAAGAACTCAAAGAAGAAGCAATCTAATATAAAATAGCGATTTCAGCTTAACGCTTTACTTTGCTATTGTGTGTAACATGGTTAGTGAAAGATCTGTTTGGTCAGATGCTGCCTATTCACCCTTAGTTGTTTGCCATGGTAACTCATCTCTTGAATAATTTTGCTCATTTTCCCAAGATCTGACAATATCAAATTCTTTTATAATTTACATATCCTTGCAGGTTCCTTTCTTTGGCAGCTTCATCAGATACCCATCTCTCATTCTGCTGTTATTTCTTCAGTCTTCCTGAATGCAAAATAATGTAGGCAGTTTATCGATTCAGGCGTCATTATAAACTTTAACAGCATTTGCTGAGATACTACCCAGGCCAGTTTCCAATTACATCAACCCCAAATAAAATAAATAAAAATAAACAATAAAAAACAATTTACGAAAGAGCATTATTTTTGAATATAAAAAAATACTTGGCTGCGCTGCATTTGAAAAAGATTTTCACATTTGTATTAAAAAAAAAAAAATTTTTTTTCCTCAAATATAACAGTTGAAAAACAATGAACACAACCATTGGTGATATTTGAATTTTTACTTAAAAATAGTCATACTAATTATACACCTAAATTTCCAAAAATAAACATAAAATCAAGAACTGGTCCCTCTACACAGCCAACATCTTATGTCATTTGGGAAAATGTGGAGAAATGCAAATTGAAAATGGGTATTTCTAACACAAAACAAACTTTTCAAACTGTACAGGTATGAACTTTATCTGCATCCAAACAGTATCTCTTGCCTCCGGGAATCATAAGTCTCTTTCATTCTCTCTAAATCATAGTTTGCATCCAAAACCTGAAATGATATTGTAAAATATAGAGGCGACATTTTAAAACTTTGTGGTCAACTTGATTAAAATTAGCTTGCCGTAATCTGGAAGGCAAAAGCATTCATTTGAGACACTTCTCCTTCTTCTTCTTAGCGTTGACTGGCGGTAAAATATAAAGGTAAAGTCGGGAGATGTGAACCAGCGTCATTGTACACGGTTATAAACCGTAAGTGCTCTGCCACCAGTATGGACAGCTGATAAGAAATTGTCTGCCTGTGTCACCGGCCGCACGGAACTCCGTAGCTACAGCGATGTTCCTCCATTTCCTCAGAGTTTTAACTCTGGTACCCATTTCCTAGAGGCTGGGTGATCCCCGGGAACCGTCCCGTTCCAAACCCCAGCCGTGGGCTGCAGTGAGTTGCAGCTGGATTTGAAAGCGAGTCTCCTATCGACTGCGCTAACGTGGCCCTAGGTTAAACTCTAGCAGAAAGTTCTGCTATTTGTCAACTTCTGGACTAATCTTCTTCCAGAAATTTGTATGCAGACTGTTGGTTCCATGCCTCTCAGGTAGATGTGTTCCCCCATAAATGAGGCCCTGAAAGCCACAGGGGAGTCTTACAAACTACTGTAACACATTCAGAAGGGTATCTACAGTCATGTTTTCAAAACAGTTCTTCTTCGCATTCACCAGCTGTAAACTTGGGTGAAAAAATCTGGTTGTTCATCCACCTCCGGACTTAGTCTTGTTCAAGAACCTGAGTGTCGCATTGACAGGTGACAAACCAACAGTCTGCATACAACTAAGCCAGATCTGTAAAATAGATATACATGCAAGTCTTACGTTCTGGAACAAGACCAAAGTCCAGAAGTGGATGAACAATTAGACTTTCCAGAGTTTACAGCCATTTAAAGCAAAAAAGAAGAAAAAGACAGAGACTTAAAAAATACATACAGGTATATATTTATAGTGGGAGCTAATAGTACTTAGTTGACAAGCTAGTAGTTGTGGATTCTAATTCGCCTCCAGGTGTAATTTTTGCAAGGTCTCAGGGGGTTGTGGCAGGGCATCAGTTGGCATGCTTGCTAGACAACGTTTACAAATTTTTAATTTACCGTGGCCAAATTAAGCTGTACGTTTTTTCCCTTCCACCAGTTTTTTTTTTTTTTTAATTCGGTTTTCATAGCACCTTCTGAATTGTTTATTTAGTCTTCATACACATGATAAAATGCCAAAAGACAACAGGTAAAATGGTTCAGAGATGCGTCCAGACTGCCAAAGGCAGTGAAGTACAAAGAGCATTGACACTTAGATACAAGCTATCTGAGCTCAAGGCTGCTCAAACAAGCAATGGATAGATGAAATATCTGCGGCCGTGAATACCCACATCCATGCAGCCAACAGCATGGCTCACAGCAGTCTCTTCAAAACCTGATGCTTCAAGACAGAACAGGGATTAATTATAAGTGCCACTAATCTGCTCCCATAACTTTTTCTTATTAGCCCATACCATACGGTGCTGGTAATCATGTCTTCTTCTTCTTTTTCTTCACCTTCACTGGCTTTAAACTGGGGCTAAAGCTCTGGTTGTTCATCCACTTCTGGACTTTGGCCTTGTTCCAGAAATTGAATTTTGTGTGCTCACCAATTTTACAGATCTGGTTTTTTTATATTCAGACTCTTAGTTCGTGGCCTCTCAGACTGATGCACTCCAACTTTGGAGGAAAGCTCTAATTAAATCAGTCAACTCTTACGACACGCTTGTTAGGGAGCCAATGGGTCAATTCTTGTTTTCCTCACAAAGATGCCCTGGAACCCAGACTGGGAAGCCTATAATAGTTAGTTGCGTATCCTTTACAGGACATTTCAGAACCAAAGCATTTAAAAATTTTTTTTTTTTTTTTTTTTTTTTTTTAGCTTTTAGCTTTTATGGTTTTTCTAGATAAATTTTACATGTAGTAGTTTGCCAATACCTCTGAACAACCGGCTCTCGGTACCACTGCTGAAGCCAACGCAAATAGAAAAATCGTCTGCTGCTGGGATTGAGCCTGGCTCCCCGGCATTATGAAGTACGGTCACAACGCCTGAGCCACATATGCCAACAGTCTATCCTATTATATAATGACACCAGACAAACTGTACAAGATACAATGGAAACATCCAAGAACAAATAAGCTAAATAAAAATAGAGATTAAAAAAAATGCTGGCTCACAATAACTGGTGCTGGAAGAGGAAATTTCTTATGCAGGAGCCAGTCATCATGCAGACTGTGGAGGGCTTGCAGAAAACACTGAAATAGAAATAAAATTGTGATACAAAGGAAATGTCTCTCTACGTACATATTCTTACTCTTCTTATGGCCAACAAATGGGGGAAGAAGCATGGACAGAGCAGATATCGTCAATGCTGTACAGACTGGGCTAGTGACGGATCTCCGACATTAACATGATTGCGTGACATGGAAGTAAAGCATGGTGAAGCACGTCTATGCTGAGAAAGGAGACATTATAACCAACCACTTATGAGAACAATTAGTAGAAGTACCCCGGGATAGCTGCTGCATTGGAGGACTGAGCACACATGGGAATGCACTATGTGCAGTGAGGTCGTTTGTAATAACATAACATACGGCTCTGAAGATCGTGGTTCTGTCTCAAGGACACATCGTTCAGTTTAAGGGTGCAATTATTGTGCGGATCCCTGCTGGAGCTTTGGAATTCAGGCTTTGTGTGACGCTCCAGGCAGACTGCTAACAATTCTGTGGAGAAAGGCCTAGCCATATGGAATAAAACCTGGCACACTGAAGCCGATCCTTTCAACTTTAACTTTCTAAGTGATAATGTTTCCAGTTACCTAAGGCAAGTTGCTCCAGTTTATGCCCTGTGATGATGATTGGTTATATTCTGTTTCAAAAAATGTTGTTTTGAAATGAGTTTAATGGTCAGACAATGAGATAAAAGCTAAAGGGGCTGACCTGGATTCAATCCATGATATCAAAAGGATTGCCCTCCCCATGTGGGTTCCAGAGCACATGGAGGTGGGGGAGGAGAAGACAGACTACCTGTCTCAAGCATGAAAGAGAAACTGACTAATCAGGGATGTTTCCTTCAAACTCAAGAGTGCATCTGCCAGAGAGTCAAGGAACCAACAGTCTGATTATAAAATAAGCCAGATCTATAAAATGGATGCAGGCAAAACTCAGTTTCTAGAAGAAGACTAAAGTCCAGAAGTTTAAAATCAGAACTTGCTGCTGGAGTTTTCAGCCGGCAAGCGCTAAAAAGAAGAGGAAGCAGAAGGGTGGACAACTAACAACATTAACCTGTGGCTGACAATGTACGAACCAGAAGCTGATCTTGGAATTCCAAGAATTACTGTGTTTAAGATTCTGACACAAGAATTGCTCACACAAATTTAGCAATGTAATTTATCTCTTTGAGCTCACAAAAAAACCCCTACTAAATTTAATGACTCTAACCAAACTAATGAGAGTGTAATGTCAACACCCTTACCAATGGGACGCCTGCCTCCTCTGTTCTAGATCTCTTTTTTACCCGGTCCAGACAAACCTCTGGATCAGCTCTCAAGTAAACTGAAAGAAAGAAAAGATAACTATGTGAAAAACTTTCCCCTGCATGCTTTATGACTGGAACTGAAAACCTAAATAACAATGATGTAATATAATCCCTGCATTACTTTTGCAATGTGTCTTTCTCTTTGCCATGGTGTATTAGAGGTGTTTATGAGCTCCAACTACCCCCAAGAGTTACACCAATGGTATCATAGAAACTGGTAGAGTCTGTCCTGCCCACGTTGGATAGGTCAAGGGAGATGAACCGGACACAGACCTACTGCCTTGTAGGTAGAGTCTGTTCTGTCCATGCTGGATAAGTCAAGGGAGAGGAACCGGACACAGACCTACTGCCTTGTAGGTAGAGTCTGTTCTGTCCGTGCTGGATAAGTCAAGGGAGAGGAACCGGACACAGACCTACTGCCTTGTAGGTAGAGTCTGTTCTGTCCATGCTGGATAAGTCAAGGGAGAGGAACCGGACACAGACCTACTGCCTTGTAGGTAGAGTCTGTTCTGTCCATGCTGGATAAGTCAAGGGAAAGGAACCGGACACAGACCTACTGCCTTGTAGGTAGAGTCTGTTCTGTCCATGCTGGATAAGTCAAGGGAAAGGAATCGGATGCAGACCTACTGCCTTGTAGGTAGAGCCTGTTCTGTCCATATTGGATAAGTCAAGGGAAAGGAACCGGACACATACCTACTGCCTTGTATGTAGAGTCTGTTCTGTCCATATTGGATAAGTCAAGGGAGAGGAACCGGACATAGATCTACTGCCTTGTAGGTAGAGTCTGTTCTGTCCATGCTGGATAAGTCAAGGGAAAGGAACCGGACACAGATCTACTGCCTTGTAGGTAGAGCCTGTTCTGTCCATATTGGATAAGCCAAGGGAAAGGAACAGGACACAGACCTACTGCCTTGTAGGTAGAGTCTGTTCTGTCCATGTTGGATAAGGCAAGGGAGAGGAACCAAACACACTGATCCCCTCATTAATCCAGTGGGAGGTTGGGGTATCAATCCCCCAGCAGGAAACTGGATGGGACAACAATTGAGATAAAGGCAAAAACTGGTTTTATCAACCAGCTACTAAGATCAGTGCATAGTGTCACAGTTCTGCCTGGTCTGCTTTGGGCTCCATGCCCTTTCTCCTCTTTCTATAAGAACCATTTACACTTTGGCATTATAAGACATTTTTTCTAAGAGGGCTAAACATTCCAGTTGCTGTCTTTGTATGTAATTAAGTACTGGTTCTATGTTGACCTGTTCTCTTGTGACCTAATTCCTGTATTATATCATTCAATACAGTCTCCTCAGAGACACCTTTTTCTCCCGTGTGTTACTAATTATGTTAAACACTTACCTATCAAATCTACATCTGCCTTCTTAGCATTTACCAGATACTGAAACCACTGGTCCAATACACCAAACTCAAATCCGTTGATCGTTTTGCTGTAATTAAAATTAAATCTTTAAGAACTATGCAAGTAGAAAAAAAAAACTAGAAAAAAAAAAACTGCCATTATTACTGCCTGTTTTCACTACTTTATTTAAGGGTGGTGTATGAAAAAAAGTGTGTGTTTGTTACTGCAGTTGCTAAAGACCATGCAACTAACCCATATGTGTTTTTATATATGGTCTGTCTGGAGAAAATTCAAACCGGCTGAGGATAAACGCAAACAGTGGCACCAGGCACAAGTGAACTGATAATAGTTTTAAAGATGTTTGTGATCAAGATGAAAAAGACATGCTGAAAATCAAAGCCCTTCTAAGATGCTAACAGTTGAACATGCTTTTATAAAAACATATTCAACAAATGGCTGATTTGGTAAACTCAGTGATATGAAATTCCTATATTAACACTATACAGTGGGACAGCTACTAAACAGATACATCATATGCTTAACTGCCTTCAGCTGGTATCGCACCGGGTACCTTGAAACTGTGAAGCACACATCTACTAAACAGTTCATAATTTAGACATAAGACAATTGGCATATCTACTAAACAAATCGTAAAGCAGATATATGTCAATTGACATCTGCTAAACAGATTCATAATACAGACAGATATCAACCGAATCCTGCTAAACAAATTAAAAAAAAAAAAGAAAAGAATAAATCAATGGATACTTACTAAAGAGATCATAATACAGACTTGAATGAACTGACATCTGCTAAACATATCACAATACAGAAATATGTATGTGTGTGTGTATACATGTGTGTGTTTATATATATATACATGTGTGTGTGTATATATATATATATATATATATATATATATATATATATATATATATATATATATATATATATATATACACACACACACACACGTATATATATTAGCAGCTCATTCAAGTAAAAAAAATGCTAGTAATATATAGAAAAAAAAAATGATTCCATATACCTGTTTAAAAAAATTTAAAAAAAAAAAAGAATAAATCAATGGATACTTACTAAAGAGATCATAATCCAGACTTGAATGAACTGACATCTGCTAAACATATCACAATACAGAAATATGTATGTGTGTGTGTATACATGTGTGTGTTTATATATATATACATGTGTGTGTATATATATATATATATATATATATATATATATATATATATATATATATATATATATATATATATATATATATATATATATATACACACACACACACACATGTATATATATATATACACACACACACATGTATATATATTAGCAGCTCATTCAAGTAAAATAAATGCTAGTAATATATAGGACAAAAAAAATGATTCCATATACCTGATGTAGTCATTCTGCACAAAACAGTATCTAGTACTATATAAGGATCTCTCCATAATTTTCACAGGGTGTGTCTGAAACAGTGAAAACATGCAAGGATAAAGATACTTGCTCATCCGTACATTATCCTAATCAGTTATGTTGAGCAGTCATATAACAGTTGCAGCTGTAGCAGGGATTTTATTTTACAGTATGCTGAACCCTCACCTTTTCTTTAGGCATCATTTTTGTCAGCTTTACTATATTAGAAACTTTATGGTGAATACTGGCACCTCTTTCTAGACACATCATGGTGGGCACTGGCATCTTTTTTTTTTCTGTCTAGAAAATGGTATACAACAGTATGCAGTACCGGCACCCTTTTCAGCACTACTTGGTACTTGTTCATACCGACATCATAGCATATGGGATCGAAAAATGTGTGCTCCATCCTCATACGTAACAGAGTGTCTTCACGCTCACGTACCCAGTAGAAGTTCACTGGCACACCTTTCTTTACCCTGCAACCAGTTCCTGCATGCTTATTCTCCTTTATGTCCATTTCCAACAGGCGGTTGGTTCATTGCCTCATTTGTTTCAACATTTTAGGAACACAGTGGACTCAGCATGTTTGCCCTGTCCATACTTCTTCTTAAACAAACATGGCCAGTCTGTTGGTTCTTTTATTTCCTTTCACTTCAGGTTATCCTGATGTATATGTACAGCCAAGATAGTTTCTTGAAGCAGGACTTTTAGATACCATCAACTCATTCTAGTTTGTGTACAGCCAAGATAGTTTCTTGAAGCAGGACCTTTAGATACCATCAACTCATTCTAGCTTGTGTACAGCCAAGATAGTTTCTTGAAGCAGGACCTTTAGATACCATCAACTCATTCTAGTTTGTGTACAGCCAAGATAGTTTCTTGAGGCAGCACTTCTGGTTACCATCAACCCATTCTGGTTTGCCAGCTTGAATCTTCTTAAGCATACTCATTCTGTCCCCCCACCCCACCTTCAGGACTACTGTAATAAACATTTTTGGGTACTTGTTTTTTTTCTGCAAAAAAGCAATGAGCAGTAGTAGTAATTTAAACAATGATATCCTTTTCAACCATTTATAAAACTGGAGTACAAAGAGGTTTTTTTCCCTTCCTATTTCAATGTTGGATATTTATGTATTTATACACACACACATATATGTTACTTTCAGTTGTCTTTTCTTCCCAAATAATTCATAGTAGCCATGTTTATAAGGTTTAGCCTACCCCAAAACCATACTGCTAGGAAAATATCACCCAATCTCAGTCGGAGACTGAACCCGAGCAACTGCCTTGACTAACTACTAAGCCACAACAGCTTACAAACATAGTCAAGTATTCGGTTATCCTTCTTCCTTGTTCACCAGCTGTAAGCTTCAGTGGAAAGTCCTGGCTGTCTGTCCATCTGAACTTTGCCTTTGTGCCAGGGCCTGAGTTTTGTGAGTATGTCGGTTTTACTGGCTTATTTGTGTGTAGTTTGTTGTTCCTTGCCGCTCGGGCAGATGCACTCTGATTTCAAAGGAAGTCCTCTAGTAGTTGACTCCTTATGACATCCTTATTGGGGAGGCAGTGGGTCTATTCTTGTTTTCAATACAATGGGGCGCTGGATTCCACACAGAGATTCTATTATATTACTTCTGATGGAGAGGGCAACAGATCAGATGACTTGGACACAGAACAGACAAACAACACAACGGGTGCCACATTAGTGCAGTCAATAGGAGACTCGCTTCCAAATCCAGCCAGTGTTCGAAATGCGGCGGTTTACAGGGTTCACCCAGCCTCTAGGAAATGGGTACCAGAGTTGATACTCTGGGGTAAATGGAGGAACGTCACTGTAGCTACATCGGAATGTGGACACAAGCGGACAATTTCTTATCAGCTGTCCGTACTGGTGGCAGAGCCCTTATGGTTTATAACCATGTGCAATGACGCTGGTTCACATCTCCCGACTTTACCTTTACAGATAAACAAACTGAAATGCCCAGGAGGCCTTTAGTATATCAAACAGGGTAAGTCAGAAATATGGATCCATGTTTAACTGCACATGTTTAATCAGACAACAGTATTATGGCCATGACAATGAGACCAATAAAAAGGCAATTCTTCAAACTCACATGATAAAGCAATTCTGAGTGACCTGATTGCATTTAAATGCTCTCGGTTTTAACATACTGCATTTCTTTTAAATGGGTGGGCATAATTCTGGCTTAACCTGTCCTTAGAAGCAGGAGAACTCTTATAACATGCTTGTTGGGTAGGCAGTGGGTCTACTCTTGTTTTCCCCACAATAAGGCCCTGGAAACCCACATAGGGAGAAGACCCACATGACCTTTGATACTAGGTTTAACTCACATGTGGTTTCGTGTGTATCTGAACCCGTGTCAACTGGGCATACATGTTGAATGAGAAACTCCATCTTTGAGGATTTTCATAAAGTAAACTCTGGAGAAAAAAAGAAAAGAAAGGAAAACACATATCTGAATGTACATTTTCAACTGTAAGAGGAAAAACACATAATCTCTAAAAGTAAAATATGTGCAACTAATGGTTGCACCAACTTCACTGCACCGGGTTTTATCCCACACTGCCCAGTTTCTCTCAATAGAATAGCTAGCTGCTTGCTCAGGGTGGCACACAAAGCACCAACTCCACAGCTCCGATGATCCCCAGGGATCTGCGTGAAAGCTGCACCAATGAACCAAACGATGCAGCTGTTTCTATGAGCAACAGAATAAGAAGAGTAAAGCAAAGGACCCCTACAGTGAAAGTATCGGCTCGGGCATATGATGCCAGACTCAAATATTTATAGACCAATCGGCAGTAGATGGGTGATGTGGTTTGCATCCTGTCAGTTGCCTTTACTTTCCAGAACTTAACCTGTATCCATTTTAGACTAAATCCATCTGGAGGCCACGGTCATTTAAAAAAATGAAATCAACTTGATGGAGAGTTGAACCCAAGACCTGCAAGCCCAGAGGCAAGCATCTAGGCACTGCAACTCCCTAAGCACCTGAAAAAGTCTTTGTAACACAATACAGTACAATGTGGGAATAACCCTGTGGTTCCAGCCACATGAAAGCTTGTGTCACTGCCGTCACCATGTTGCTAGGAGTCGTAGAGAAGTTACTTGTAACACAATACAGTACAATGTGGGAATAGCCCTATGATTCCAGCGATATGAAAGCTTGTGTCACTGCCGTCACCATGCCGCTAATAGTCATAGAGAAGTTACTTGTAACACAATACAGCACATGTGGGATTAGCCCTGTGATTCCAGCCATATGAAAGCTTGTGTCACTGCCATCACCATGCGGCTAGCAGTCATAATGAAGTTACTTGTAACACAATACAGTACATGTGGAAACAGTCCTGTGATTCCAGCCATATGAAAGCTTGTGTCACTGCCATCACCATGCGGCTAGCAGTCATAATGAAGTTACTTGTAACACAATACAGCACATGTGGTAATAGCCCTGTGATTCCATCCATATGAAAGCTTGTGTCACTGCCGTCACCATGCCGCTAGTAGTCATAGAGAAGTTACTTGTAACACAACACAGTACAATGTGGGAATAGCCCTGTGATTCTTATAAACTTTTTCTTCGCTGCCTCTCTTACCGCTTCAAGTGAGATTCAAGGTTCTATTTCTTGCTCTTCTGGCCACTTCAACCATAGACATATCTTGCCATTGCAGAGTTTGTTTTATGTTATCTTTCCATCTCGTTCTTTATACTGGAGAGGAAAGCTGAAGGCCACAAGCAAGAGAAATGCAACGATACAAGTGGGAGGATAACATCAAGAAATGTGCAGTGTTCAACCAAGGTGAGCTACAAAAGGATGGTTACGATTTATCGCAGACAACCTCCAATGCAAAAAGAGCATCTTATTGCTTGATTGTAACCAATACTTTGTTTATTTTTGAGGTTTCTCAATTATCTTTAAAATCAACATTTTTATATTTTCAAGCTGCCTAAAACCCTTCTAACAGTTTATTTGGCATTTTAAAAAGTCTCCCAGATATTACATTCCTACCCATATAGAAGCTTTTGAGCTGAAATGCCATAGAAAGATTCTCAGAATATCTCGGACAAAGAGGAGGAGAAATACTGACATCTTGAAAGATCTGAAAACCAAGGAAGATTGGCTAATAAACAGCATCCTGTCTCGGAAGCTGAAATATTTTGGTCATATCAAAGGCCACGACAAATTGGAAACAATTATAGCAGAGGGAATGGCACCAGGAAGGAGGGGCAGGAGCTGACCGTCACGAAGATGGGCACAGGATTTAAGTGACTCCTTAAGAATGAAAGTACATGGGGTGGAAGAGCTGGCGAGAGACTGAGTTTCTTTCATGTATACCATGATGAGAGTGATGTTCTGCAAAGGACCTGCTACATGATGATGATGATTCCCCATGTGGGTTCCAGGGCCCTATTATATGGAAAACAAGAATAGAACCACTGCCTACCCAAAAGCATGTTGTAAAAGTTGACTAACTGGGAGCTTCCTTCAAAGTCGGAGTGCATCTGCCTGAGAGGCAAGGAACCAGAAGTCTGCATACAAATGAGTCAGAACTGTAAAACGGATTCCACGCAATACTCAGGCTCTGAAACAGGACTGCAGTCTGAAAGTGGATGAACAACCAGAACTTTCCGCCAGAGTTTACAGCTGGTGAACCCAAAGAAGAAGAAGATGATGACCCATATAGGACAGTAGGAAGATCCATCAAACAGGGTCTCTGGGATTTACTCCTGGTGGATTAACATCTGAAAACTGGCTCTTTCAGATACTGGGTGTCAATATTTGTTATGGCAATCACACAGGGCAAAAATGTAATACACATTTAAACAAAAAAGCCAAAAAAGTTTCAACTCATTTTAACCAAACTATAAAAATATCCAAATATATGAACATCAAACAGGGAATCTCACCAAGGCATTATGTCCTTTTACATTGGTCCATCTGTCTATGGGTTCTTCAAGCACCTGAAATTATACAATAATGATAACAGCCAGTTGTGATACATGGCCGTGGATCTTAGACAATTAATAACAAAGCCAAACAATGTCCCGAAGTCTCAAAGATGTAGTTTTACAGAAGAATGCTTAAAATTCCTTGGACAAACAAAAATCAGTCATCTAGATGTTTTGAAAGAGGCAAGGGCCTGAATACATCACAACGAGGCAGTCACTCATGTTTCAAATGAGTTTTTGATAGACGGCAACCATGCATCGGGGTGGGCTGATAAGTGACAGAGAATTTATGGGCACTACATCTCTAAAGGCCATCGAATCCGAGATCCCCTTCCAGCTCGGTTTAGGTCGACATGATCCATTATTCGTAGCGCATGATGAGGAATTGTGGCAGGTGTCTTGCATGAGCAGCCCTAAAACCAAGCAGAGCTGGCGCCTGAGGTGAGCTATAGAGTACCTTCTTATATACATCACAATGCGTTTCATTTTCCCTCACTCCTGTGATTGAAATCACTCGATACAGGTGCTATTATGGGGATGATATTCTGCTGAGGACCTGCTTTGTATGTAATGATGATTTAGGGCAGACATTTGCCCCTCATAACCTATGTCAACAAGAAATAGACAAACATTGTTCTTTGGCCACATAATGAGAAGAGAGACATTGGAGAACATTGTGACAATTGAAAAGATCAGTGGAAAAGGGGTTGAGGCAGATCAAGAGAGATGATGCTGGATGGGCTGAAACATTGGCACGGAGGGATATCCTTAAGAGAGCTGTTCCAGGCAACCAGGGATCGTGATCTGTGGAGACACATGAGCGCCTACGCAAGTTGGCAGGGAACATGATGATGACCCTATGTCTGTTTATACTGTATATGTATACAAGATATTTTAGTCTCGTATTAGGTTAAATTACACAGAAATAAACAGACAGGGAATCCTTGATGCTGTAGAAACAGTATAATAAACAAGTGACATATATTTTTGGCAAAAAGAAGCAATGACAGGAGGATACACTAGACCAGTGTTTCCCAACATGGGGCCCACGCCTCACAAGGGGGCAATTTGATTGTTAAGGGGATAAACTTGAAAATGGACTTAGATGGGCCAGGCACAAAATAGGTTGGGAAACACTGCGCTAGACAATATAAACAACATGGAACAATGCTGTGTAACAACTGTAGTAACACGATGACAATAAGGAACTAGAAGTTAAAACAGGGATTTTGACTGGACAGTACAAAGAGCAAAACCTAATCATAATACTGAGCTGACGTAGAATCTAGGTTAGGGCAAACTGAAAAACACTGTGTGCTTGGCAAAGTAGAGTTGAGGAACAAATGAATTCCCATGAGAAGAGTGGAAGTACAAGTGAAAGTAATCAAGCGTGTGGACATGTGGGAATACAGTCGTGTGGATATGTGGAAAAACAGTCACAGAGAAAGAACTGTGAAGGCATTCGTTAGACTGGACCCCAAGAGTACAGGCTGGAAGTGAAGTCTGTTCGAGACAAGATCTGTGTGAAGAATTTCTTCTTCTTCTTAGCATTCCCTGGCTGTAAACTGCAGGGGAAAGTCCTGGCTCTTCATCCACTTCTGCACTTTGGGGTCTTGTTCCAGAAAATGAGTTTTGCGTGCACATCCATTTTACATGTCTGGCTTATCTGAATGCAGAATGTTAGTTCCTTACCTCTCAGACAGATGCTCTTCAACTCTTGAAGGAAACACCCTTAATTAGTTTACTTTTACTACATGCTTTGGGGGGAGGGGGGGCGGGGGGGCAACGGGTCTATTCTTTTTCCCAATATGGGACTCCAGAACCCAAACAGGGAGTGGGAAGCATTTGACATGAGTGTCCAGTCTAGAGTGTGATTTGGTTGCCTGCTCAAGCATGAGCCTCCTGCTACAGAACACCGGCTCTATTCACCAGTGTATTGCTGTGTCAGATGAATTGTGTGTGCAGAAAACAGTGTGTAAACTGTAGTTATCTGAACTTGGATGATCGCATAGTGTGGAACTAAACAGTCACCCATTAGTAGCCAACTTAGCAAGTGACTGGGACAAAGAGACCGATAACATTAGTAGCACAGTGAAGTATGTCCAATGAACGATGAATACTTCTTCTTCTTCTTCTTTGCGTTCACCAGCTGTACATTCTGGCGTAAAGTTCTGGTTGTTCGTCCACTTCTGGACTGCAGTCCTGCTCCAGAACCTGGGTGTTGCATGTGCATCAGTTTTACAGATCTGATTCTATTGAATGCAGACTGCTGGTTCCTTGCCTCTCAGGCAGATGCACTTCGACTTCAAAGGAAGCTCCCCAGTTAGTCGACTCTTACGACATGCTTTTGGGGAGGCAGTGGGTCTATTCTTGTTTTCCCCACAATAGGGCCCCGGAACCCACACAGGGGCGATGAATACTGAGGAGCTGTGTGATTCTTTGAGGATTTACATGGTCACAGCATGCAATGTTTCTGCCTGGTCAGCTCTGTACACTCCTAAACAGTAGCTATAACACAAATTAGGGGTATTTCAACATTACTTCAGAGGGGTATCAATAAAATACCTCAGAGTGTGGTAAAAACAACAAAACAAAATGTGAAGAACACTGGGTTAAAAATGATTATCTTATGACAACCAAATGATCTCAATTTACCTCAGTGTGGTACAAACAACAAAGCAGTGTTAGCAAAGAATAGACACAGCATACTACTGGACATACACCCAGATGCTCAGTCCTCTGCAGCAAACGTCAAAAAGTGGAGATAAACAACTGTTTCAGTAGCCCACTGGCTGTATGCACATCAGACCCCTCTTCTCACATGCTCTTTCTTGTTGGATCCACATTTAATTCCAGATTCAAATAACTCACACAGTTGATTCATATTTACAAATGATTACCTCACAGTGTGGTAAGTTTCCAAAGTGTTGCAATAGAGTAGATTTCCCACTTCCAATATTGCCTTCTACGGCAACCTGTTAGAAAGGTAAACAGTACGAAATTATGGCATTCATTCTTCTTCTTCAACGATGGGAAAAGTTGGTAACAAGAGGAGGAAAAAAGCAGTAAGAAATACTATAAGACAGTACGAGGAATAAGACATCACACTGAGGACAGATTTCCCCAAAACAACACTGGCCTACAATTAAATTATGCCAAGTCATCCTGTTCTTTGCCATCGTGCCCAGCTCATCTCATGTCCTCCTTAACTTATTCTTATTCACCTCAGTTCTAATTACCAATTCCTCAGAAAAAAAAAGTAACTAAACAGTATGGCAGAATTACTAATGCAGAGTATGCTGGACAAAATGAGACAAATTTCAGTGAATTAAGAGGTGAGGAGAAAATGCTGTTGGATATGATGCACACTGAGAAAACAGGATCCTGATAATAATACAATTAGAATGTCCTTAGTCTGTCCCATTACAAAAACACCAGTCTTGATTCAGGTTTGTGATCTGGTCTTGATTATGCCGCATATCCATCCCTCACGTATATACGCTTTGCTTTCCTATTGCTTATTTCCTGCCAGGTGTGTCAGCTGTTACGTTTTCAAGTTAATTTCTTCTCATAACATCCACGAAATTTCTTGACACATGTTTGCTTTTTCTTATCAATTACAGTGGTAACTCAGATTTCGAACGCTTCAAAGTTCAAACGCCTTGAATCCGAACAAAACTTTCAAGTAAATGTTGCCACGGAACTTGAACACTGCCTTTGGTGGCCAGAAGGAACATTTAGCTCTCCTCCGAACTTCTACCTCGGCATTATAACGCTCAAACAAATATCCTAACAGGGCCTCAGTCCTATTAAAAATATGCGAACTTCCGGCGACGAACGAATCGCGGCAAAACTAGGATTACCTGACAATTTCAAGAGACGCAAACACTGCAGACAATAACAGCGACCGTTGACACTTTTGAGCGTTTCTGCATACGATACTAGTGACCATTGACAATTTTGAGACACGCAACATTACAGACGATAATAGCCACATGGCGGGTAGACCACGTACTCCGACACTGATAAGCGTCGTTGTTGTTCTCAAATTTTTCCGCATGCGCAAAACGCGGTTACACTCACCGCCAACAGTATCCCCAGTCCCACGCGTAGCGAGCGCATCTGTTCTTCTTGTTATCATAGCTCTAGAAAATCTATGACTTTTGATGTCAACAAAGAGGTTGTCGATGAATTAACTTAGAGGACGATCATGCAACGGAGCTGACAATGCAACAGCCTCAGCACCTTCACCAGCAGCAGAACAAAAAAAAACAAACTTTATTTTCAAAGGATTTCAGAAGGAAGAAACTGTAGAAGAGGGGAAAGTGGGAAGGATTAGCACAATTGAGATCCAAGACAGTTTGGTTAAAAAAAAAAACAAAGAAGTTGTTGAGAGGTGGCACCTAGATAGACTACTAGTTAACAGGTAGGTATTCAATGATAATAATATAGAACTTTTAAGAAAAAAATGTGGTCGCTAACATCAGAGCACTTTGGAACACTTGTTCTCAACAAGAACTAGTGACTCCAAACCCCCTACAACTGGTAAAAAACTGATATAAAAGACCAGAAAGGATTCCTGATGTTACCCTGAAAGGGCCTTCCAAATAATAACCTCCCTAATTCCCCCTTCCTCCTCCTACTTCTATGTGCTGTGTTGCTGTATCTTTATAAGGTTAATTATGGTAACACATGATGATCATATTTCAATACAGTTATAAATAAATAAAATAAAAATTATTTAAAAACATTGTATTTTTTCTTTACCTTTATAAGATACAGTAAATCAAGAATACAATCTGGAAAAAAAGTATACTTTGCCTTTCAACTTCTGCTAAAGTCAAAGTATCTGTCTCGCAACACCAAGATCAAAATTTATAAAGCGTTGATAAGACCAGTCATTTTATATGGCTCTGAAACTTGGAGCACAACTAAAAGAGATGAAGCCTTATTAAAGGTTTTTGGAAACAAGAGTCTTACGACGAAACTTTGGACCCATCAAATATGCAAACAACAGTGAATGGAGAGTGTGAAGCAATAACGAAATTCATAATCTGTTTAAATCACCACTGATCACTGGCATCATGAGAGCTAATAGACTAAAATGGTTGGGGCATATTGAAAGAATGTCAGATAACAGAGAAGTAAAAACTGTATACACGAGAGAGATGAATGGTCATACACCACGAGGCAGACCAAGAAGACAATGGAGAGATAATATTCAGACAGACCTGCTGCAATGAACCTCAAAGGCTCAGAATGCTGAAGAGAGAGATGAATGGATGTACACCACGAGGCAGACCAAGAAGACAATGGAGAGATAATATCCAGACAGACCTGCTGCAATGAACCTCAAAGGCTCAGAATGCTGAAGAGAGAGATGAATGGCCGTACACCACGAGGCAGACCAAGAAGACAATGGAGAGATAATATTCAGACAGATCTGCTGCAATGAACCTCAAAGGCTCAGAATGCTGAAGAGAGAGATGAATGGCCGTACACCACGAGGCAGACCAAGAAGACAATGGAGAGATAATATTCAGACAGACCTGCTGCAATGAACCTCAAAGGCTCAGAATGCTGAAGAGAGAGATGAATGGCCGTACACCACGAGGCAGACCAAGAAGACAATGGAGAGATAATATCCAGGCAGACCTGCTGCAATGAACCTCAAAGGCTCAGAATGCTGAAGAAGAAGAAGACTATTCAAACATGATCATCATGTGTTACCATATTTAGCCACTGAAAGTGCAAGGCTTAACCACTTAGTCACAGATTACATGATTTTAAAGGATAACTCATTATCCTCATGTAGAAAGTTTTTTGCTGAACACTGCTTTCATCAGCCAGTCAGGATGCTTCTTGATTACTCGTAAATTCTCCAGTCTCATAAACACTCTTTAAAAATACTAAAAATAAAAATCGATGGGATTCAGTCAAAGGCCACATGCACATACGATATATTTTTATAAACCAAACAGCACTCGATGGTCACCATCACGCTGGCCATCTTTAGTTTCCAAGACTTTACATGGTACCTATTTTTTGGGACTAGCAGTCAAGGTCATTTCTGGAGAAAAATAACAGTCTGACTTGATACAGATTCAAACCAAATTCTCATGTCTGTGTATGCCCTGTCTACCATATCACTCAGGTTTGAGGTTTGAACGATGGATCAACATTATGATACAAGGGTAGTAATCCGTAATGTGCTCCGTTCTTCTTCTAACTAAGTCTGAGTCCGAAGAAACTCAGCAAGTGCACAGGCTTTGTAGCACCGGTGAGGATCCTGAAATACTTTGAGTAGATTTTTAACTCAAAATTTTGCCCGGGCAGCGCCAAAGGATTTCAACTGCCAAGGGATTTGTTACGTGCACAACAATGCTCATGGGCGTCCAATCTCAATACCCAGAGATCAGGGGGAATTACTAGAGGTCCAAGTCCACGTGAAAAAATCCCAGCCCTTACCAGGGATTGAACCTGGAACCTTTATCTCTACCATAATGCTGTTGGACAACTGTCTCTTCTACCAGTAACCATGCTTTTTGTTACTGTTCTTTCAGGTGAACAATTAAAGTTGAAAGGTTTGCTTTGATTGCACTGGGTTTTATCACCCCATATGACTTGGTCTCTCTCTGCAGAATGGCAAGCCACCTGCAGATAGCGATGCACAGAGCACGAACACCATAGCTTTGGCGACGACCCTGGAGGTCTGCATAAGTGAACACTACAGCTGAGAAATTTCAATCATGACCTCCAGAGCACAAGGCAAATGACATGGCCACTTCGGCACAGAGACCCTCCTGTATGGTTACCAGTATAGCTAGCAACATGAAACACATATAATCATTCCTACCGTGTAGTGAGTTTTGTTACCAGACAGAGGCAGGTGTTCTGAAATAAAAGAAATATATAATTAATGAACACATGGTTAAAGTATAGTTTTTTTAATTCTAAGGCCTCTTTGAGTGTATGTGTGTGTGTGTGTGTGTGGGGGGGGGTGGGGTGGGGGGAGCACACCCACCATTACTCAACAATAAACATGTTGTAAAATTAAAATACTGCTGAAAAGGGATGTAATTGCCCAAATCCTCTAGCTATAATCCCTCTGGCAACTACTTTTTGCTATCTACTTTAGAGCTGTGGTGATAGCTTTCATCTACATCCTCAGTCTTGTAGTTGGTGGATAAAACTTAAAAAGCATATAGTGTGGAAATTTATATCTCGTCCACTCTTTAAAGTTATCAGTCTTTCGTATGTTATAAAATAGCAACTAATAAATATTACCTGCCTTCAAGTTTTAAAACTTAAATATGAAACATTTTTTTTTTGAGATTCTGTTATTTTAATCATAAGAGGCAGACAGCATAGTGGTGGATAACCTTAACAACAACATTCTAATTTATAATTTAAATGATTTGATTTGATTCAAGAACCGACATCACAGCACTCGGGGCATTCTCATAAGCGCTCCGTCCCCATCTTCAGCAGCCAGCGAAGAGTTCCCATACTAATAGTGCCAGCAGCATTTTGACTAAACGTCCGTCTTGCCTTTCCTCTGAGCCTCGAACATCTGCCAGAACCTCTCGTCACTCCCCGCTGCATCAATCTCACTAGACTGTGGTGATCCATCTGCTCCTCCGAACTGTACACGCTCTCCCACAAGGCACTAACCATGTCAGCCTTATCATGTATCAGTATTCCACCAAGTTGTGCAGAGCCAGCCAGTCTGTCTGCCTGTTCATTTCCCAACACACTAATGTGACTCGGTGAAAAAATCCAGACAATACTCCTTACCTGTGTCCTCCTAATTTAAATAATAACAGTGGTACCTAGGGTCCTGAATGCCTCAAGTCTCAAACAAATCAGCGAACATTATTTGTCACTTCACTGTTCTTGATACAATTTACTTTTCTCTTTGCATCAAATGAACACCTTAAGTGGGTACAAGGTAAAGTCATAGGAAGTAAAGGCAGCTGGTGTGATGCTGAACACATCACTCACAGAGTGTTGATTGGTCTATAAAATATAGGTCTAGCCCTGTATACCTAAATAAGCCTGAAGGCTTGGAAAAGGTAACTTTACTTTATGAACACTTATTGTGACTCCCATCTTCTTCTTCTTCTTCTTCTGCGTTCGACATCAGTCATGCTAAACATTGAGTCCCGTCTGGGTCACAAATAGGATTGTGCGTTTAAGGTCGCCACCGGTCCCCCATAGCTTCTCTTTCAATGTGGTTCCCTTGGGCCAGATCCACAGTCTTTGCTGGGAGAGGTAAGGGCAGTACTGTAGTATGTGCCCAGGGGTCTGTCTTTCTGCTCCACAATCACAGGCAGCAGATTCTTTTATGCCTATCCTGTACAGGTGTGCTCGAAGACCACAGTGTCCAGTCCGAAGTCTAAAAAATTGTTGTTTGTTCTTTCCTGTTGAGTTTGTTTATGCTGTCACTCTCTGGTCTGTAATCTCCAGTGACTCCCAGTAAAGTCTTGCTCCCTACTGGACCCTATGTCAGCAACTATCATGTTTATCAACCACAAAGGTAAAATTACTGCAATATTTTTGTCACACATAAATCATTAAATCCAGACAAAAGTTTTTTTCAAAGCTCTTTGTGGACTAATCGCCACTTAATTGGTGTTTGAACAAATCCCGCTAGGACTAATCACCATTAAAGTGGCATTTGACAGTGAAAAGCTAATATTGTTTGTTGCTGGAAAAAACTATTTTGTATGAACATGTTTGAAAAATTAGAATTGACGAAGGAAGTCCTTTTATTTTTGAAGTTCAGATTTGCGTCACTTTCCTAAATGTTAAAATTTTTTTTAGATGTGATAGTATTTTAAACTGATTTTACTACATCAAATGATAAGGAAAAAGGTCTAGAACTATTTATACTACTCCGTTGTTGAAGTCTGCACAAAATATTTCAACTGTATCACCTGTTTCAATTAGCTGTTTTCCCATTTTTAGTTGTGAAATCTGACATCTCATTAAAAAATATCATAACATTCAAAGAATTTAAATTACCTGTTTCAAATAAAAACTACCTGAAACATAATTGAACAGAGAAGGCTGGCACTTTTTTGAATACCAATCCCAAACTATTTATTGAATAAGTAAAAAAAATAAGGTAAGCACAACATTTTTCGTATAAATAATCTTCATATGTGTCTAACAACGTTGAATAATGTGTGTTGAAAACAATTTTATGTTGTAATACTAACGCTTAAATAATTTAGATTTATTCTGCACAATTCTCTGTATTTTGATATATTATGTAGGCTATCCTCCAAACTTCGGGCAATAAAGATGGCGGCAGCAAAATATCCTTTCGAGCCACAGTCACGTGTCAATTGCACACTTCCGGCGACCTAATTTGCGGTTGTCCGGTGACTACCGCCACCACCACGAGTCCCCCACGCGGCGTCGTTTGGGGTTAAACTAGATGGCTAGGACCCACGATCAGCAGCTTCCGCATCTCCTGAAGCTTTGCTTGTGAGTCCTAGCCATCTAGTTTAGCCCCAATCCATGCTGCGTGAGCGGCGTGGGGGACTCGCAGCGGTGGTGGTAGTCGCCGGAAAACCGCAGGAGAACCGAAAATTAAGTCACGTGACTGTGGCTCGAAAGGATATTTTGCGGCGCCATCTTTAGTGCCCAAAATTCGGAGGATAGCCTATTATGTATTATTATATATGTCCCAACACAGCCAATACTTTTTCTTCAGGAAGGTTTTAGCTTTGTCATGTTGCAGTAAAAACATTCCACTTAAAATTAATGCTGTCCAAACCCCAGGGAAAAAAATGTTGTCCTGAAAGAGTTGAAACATTTGGCTCTCCTCCGAACTTCTACCCCGGCATTATAACGGTCTAACAAATATCCTAACAGGGCCTCAGTCCTATTAAAAATATTCGAACTTCCCGCGACGAACAAATCGCGGCAAAACTAGGATTACCTGACAATTTCAAGAGACGCAACACTGCAGACGATTGTAGCAGACAATAACAGCGATCGTTGACACTTTTGAGCGTTTCTGCATACGATACTAGCAGACAATACTAGCGACCATTGACAATTTCGAGACAGGCAACATTACAGACGATAATAGCCACATGGTGGGCAGACCACGCTCTCCGACACTGATTAGCGTCGTTGTCGGCATGCGCAAAACGCGGTAACACTCACCGCCAACAGTATCCCCAGTGCCACGCGTAGCGGCGCGAATGGGGGGCTAAACTAGATGCCAGGGACTCACAAGCAAATTAATTGGAGGTTGCAGGAGATGCGGTAGCTGCTGCTTGTGAGTCCCAGGCATCTAGTTTAGCCCCATCCGCGGTGAGGCAAAGTCACAGAAACAGGTCCGCAATTAACATATCGCTGAGACCCTGTTTTACCATTTGTTTCGTTATACGGAGCCGATCCAAGTTTTACCGCAATTCGTTCGTCGCCGACAGTTCGCATATTTTTAATAGGAGTGAGGCACTGTTAGGATATTTGCAGAAGTTCGGAGGAGAGCCAAACGTTTCTGGGGTAGGCGAACAGATTAATAGGATTTGGGGCTCTCCTTGCAGTACCTTGCAGGGCTGGACGGCTTAGTTCAGTTTAGTGGGAGTTCTCTCCCTTGGCCGCACTGGAAACAGTGAGCGGAAAAGTCACGAATCAAAGAAGACAGTGAGGTCGATATCAGGGCTGCCAATGCTTGGTTGTGTCCCCCAGATCTGGGGGGTTTTTTTTGACGCTGAGGGGAAATCTGTTTTTTTTTTTTTTTTGGTTTTTGCCGATCTGTATGCTTTAATGACCGATAAATTCGCGTGGTTAGGGGTAGGGTTAGGATTAGGGGTAACGTTAGGGTTACGGTTAGGGGTAGAGTTAGGGTTAGGGGTAGGGTTAGGGTTGGGGTTAGGGTTAGGTTTAGCGTTAGATGTGACAATTTTGACGCAGGAGTTCGCTATAATCGCGCACAGTCACATACACACCCAAACAGTCGACGGACTGTGGATGCTACGGACAATTCGCCACCGATTGGGCACCAGCCGTGCGCTATTGCCGTCATATTTGACAGACTGTCAGTGGCGCCACTCCAACAAGCATCAGATTGTCAGCCAGTATTTGGAACTCCTACGTCAAAATTTTCACATCTAACCCTAACCCTACCCCTAACTCTACCCCTACCCCTAACCCTACCCCAAACCGAAACCCTACGCAACCCTACACGCAACAGTATGATGACTACGCAACCCTACACGCAACCGTATGATGACAACGCAACCGTATGATGACAACGCAACCCTACACGCAAGCGTACGCAACCCTATACGCAACCGTATGATGATAGGTAAGTATGTCATTTGTTTCGTGACTTTTCCGCTCACTGTTTCCAGTGCGGCCAAGGGAGAGAACTCCCACTAAACCAAACTACGCCGTCCAGCCTGCGTCCAGCCCTCGTCCGGTACTGCAAGGAGAGCCGGATTTGGATTTGGCCGATTTGCACCGATTTCATCAATGGGAAAGTAAAAAGTTGGTCGTAATTATTTCAGTACTAAATTAGCACGCTGGCTTACAGACAGAAACTCATACTATTCAACACTCTCCTTTTATAAACGTACCTTTCATGATCTTGTGACAGGCAGTTTCGTAGTCTGCTATCACTGACAAATGACGCAGTCTTACTAAGAGTCTTAGTAGTCCTTCACGATGTCCGAAGACTAAACCAGTACCACCTGGTCTAGCATTTTTGACGAACAACTGAAACAGCCGCCAAAGTGGCACTGTATACGAGGTAACCATGCATACATTCGGAAGTAAAAAATTAATACTTAAAATAATTTAGCCTTTGCAAACGTGCGATGTGGTCTACTTATTTAATGGGTGTTTATTAAAAACTCAACAGAAGTCAG